GCGCCGTGCGCTGCGGACAAGGCCCCTCGTCATCATGATGATGTTGATGATGATGATGATGATGATGATGATGATGATGATCATCATCATCATCATCATCATCATCGTCATCAACATCATCATCACCATCATCATCACCAGCATCATCATCAACATCACCATCAGCATCATCATCCTCACCATCTTGACCAGCATCATCATCAGCATCATGATGATCATCATCGTCACCACCAGCATCATCGTCATCGTCATCATCGTCATCATCATCATCATTATTATTACCATCATCCTCACCAATATCAGTAGCATCATCAGCACCATCATCATCACCGTCATCATCACCATTACCACCATCATCGTCACCACCACCATCATCATCATCATCATCATCATCATCATCATCATGATCATCATCATCATCGTCATCATCATCCTCACCATCAACGGCAGCAGCATAGGCATCGCCACTCGTATCATCGTTCTGATTACCGCCACCATCATTATCGTTGTCATTATCATTATCATCATCATCATCATCATCATCATCACCGTCATCATCATCAACAACATCATCACTATTACCAGCATCACCATCATCACCATCATCATCGCTAGCATCATCATCACCACAACCATCACCACCCTCACCACTACGGCAACACCATCATCATTATCACAAGTAGCATCGCTATTATCATCACCACCACCGTCATCATAATCATCATCAAAATCATCACTGTCAGTACCATTATTATCATCATCATGGTCATTATCACCGTCATCGTCATCATCGGCATCGTCACCGTTTGCCAACTTCATCACCAATTGAATAATCATCATCATCGTCATCAGCATCGTCATCATCAGCATCGCCATCATCATTACCATCATCATCGCCATCATCATCATCAGCATCATCATCAAGACCATCACCATCATCATCACCATCATCACCACCATCATCATCATCACCATCATCCTCACCACCATCGGCAGAACCATCAGCATCAGCACCACCATCACCACCACCACCACCATCATCATCAGCAGCAGCATCATCCTTATCAGTACCAGCATCATCATGGTCATACTCATAATCAGCATCATCAGCATCATTATCATCATCATGATCATTTGCCTATTAGTATCATAGGCAGTCGCATTCTGTTTATGATCACCACCACCATCATCATCATCATCCTCATCATCATCCTCATCATCATCATCAGCATCATCATCATCATCATCATCATCATCATCATCATCATGTTCATCATCATCATCATTGCGCCTGGCCTGGGTGCTGCGAGAGGCCCAGAGTTGATTGCGGCGTGCATGGCCCGCTGCGCACGGTGCGAGCGTGCGATCGCCAAGGCACGGCCGTGGAGGTCGCCGGAGGCGTGCGCTGGAGCTGCTGAGAGTGCGCCGACGATGGGGTGGCGATCCAAGGCGGCCGAGGAGCTGTCAGCGGCGGAGGCGGCCCGGCGGGCAGCACGGCGGCGGCGGTCATCGCGGTGGCGGCCGTCGGGGCGGCGCTGGCGGTCCAGGCCGCTGGCCAGGCAGGCGGCGGCGACGAGGCTGACGAGGCCGCTGCCGACGGTATGCGCCCAGTGCATCTCTGGGCGCCTCCGACGGCGAGACACCGCGGCGGACGCGAGGCGCGGGGAGTGCCGCGGCCGCCCCGCTGGAGGCCACCAAGCCTGGCCCCGCCCCGCGAGTGCCGCGGCCGCGGGTGAGGACGCGCGCGTGGCGCCGCGCTGGCTGCTGCGCCTGCCGCTCGAGCGGCTGCCAGAGGCGGCGGCCAGGCGGCGGCCGTGCCTCCCCCGCCGAGACCGTTGTGGTGGAACGCAGCCGTCCACGACACGCACGTGCTCTACGTCCTGCAGCTTGCGGGAGCGCTTGGAAGCGTCTGGGAGCGCCAGGAAGCGCTTGAAAGGCGCTTGGGGAGCGCTTGAGGAGCGGCTTGAGGGCGCCCGGGGGCCGTCGGGCGCTCCTGGAGCATGTGGGAATTCCTGGGAGCGTCTGGGAGCGCCTGGGAGCGTCGTGGAGCACTTCGGCGCTCCTGGAACGTCCGGGAGCGCCTGGGAGCGCCTGCGAGCGTGTGGGGGCGTCTGGGAGCGTCTGGGAGCGCCTGGGGCCGCTTGGGGAGCGTATGGCTGCGGCCGCTTGGGAGCGCCTGTGCGCTGCCTGGGGAACGCATGAGGCCGCCGAAGTGCGCTTGGGCGCTTGGTGGTGCGTCTCTTGTTTCTCTGTGCCAGAAATCGCAGCCTCGCGGGCGCAGACCCTGTGGCTTTTACCAGGGATCGCGGCCTCGGGGGTGCCGATCATATGGTTCTCCCAGTGGGCCCCTACTCCGAACAAGTCTCAGGACAAGCCCCAACACCAGGGAGGCCCCACAGTGATGTTGACCTTTTGGAGCCGGCGGGCACCATCCTGAGACCCCCTGGACCCAATGTCACTCAAGCAGTGGCGAGGCCTCCTGGCTCGCCTATACGCCTACCAAACAATGTTCTAAGAACCTTCTGTGGTTTCCACGAGATGTTCTTAGAACGTTTCTGGCTGAGACTGTCTTACTTTGGGACATCGGGCTTATGTTCTTAGAACCTTGTTTCTGCTCTTAGCACACTTTTGGGTTCTGAGAACATCTCGTGGTAGGCCTTTAGGAATGCTGGGACGGTCGGTCCCTGCTCAAGTCACCCTGTCCGTTTTACGCACAGGGGAAGGAAGGCGTCGCCCGCCTTACGCACAGCACAGAAGCGGGCGAGCTAGCTCGTCGTCCGCCAGCGCAGCGCATCTGCCGCTCTGCGGCACGCTCCGACCACCAGTCCCTCGCTGCCTGGCGACTGTCGGTGCCGGTGCGCCCTCCGCAAAGAGAGAAAGAGAGAGAGAGAGAGAGAACGAGACTCCTCCTCCTCCTCCTCCTCCTCCTCCTCCTCCTCCTCCTCCCCGGCCTCCTCCTCCTCCCCCTCCTCCTCCTCCTCCTCCTCCTCCTCCGAGAGAGAGAGAGAGAGAGCGATAGAGAGAGAGAGAGAGAGACAGAGATTTCGTTCTGCGCGTTTGATATCTGGAGGCTCCGTTGAGCCCTGCGGCCGTTCACAAGCATGGAGCGTGGCGAAAGCGCAGTCTCAGGGGGGGGATTGAGAGGACAGGGGCGTGGAGGCCTGAGCATATATCAAGCCGCGTATATGGAACGAAAGACAGACTAGAGAGAAGAGATAGAGAGAGAGAGAGAGACTCCTCCTCCACCACCTCCTCCTCCACCTCCCCCTCCTCCTCCCCCTCCTCCTCCTCCTCCTCCTCCGAGAGAGCGAGAGAGAGAGAGAGAACAAAAAAAGACACGGACAGAGACAGAGACAGCACACTGACAGAGAAACAGGTGCCTGATGCCTGTGCTCCCGCAAGGGGCAGGTCGTCCTCCCCTGGCTTGGGATCGTGGCTGGGGTGAGTGGATGGAAAAGTTGATGGGGGGCAGAAGGAGACAGCAACAATAGCAGCATCATGGGAGAAGGAGAGAGCGAGTAAGAGAGAGAGAGAGAGAGAGACAGACAGACAGACAGAAAGAGACAGGGGGTTCCAGGAGGCCGGAACAGTTTAGCAAACACGTTCGGAATGAGAGAGAAAGAGAGAGAGAGAGAGAGAAACAAAAAAAAGAGACAGAGACAGAGAGAAAACGATGGAGAGTGAGCGAGAGAACGAGAGTGAGAGAGAGAGAGAGAGAGAGCGACAGAGGTTTCATTAAACGTGTTTGGTCTTCGCAGGCCTATTTCGAGCCGTGAGACCGTACAACAAATGTGGGGCTAGCCGCAGTCTTTGGAAAGGGATCGAGAGCATAAGTCGCGGGAGGTATTGACCGAGAGCGAGAGGGAGAGAGGAGATAAATGGAGAGAGAGAGAGAGGGCAAGAGAGAGAGAGAGAGAAAAAGAAAAAGAGAGAGATGCATAATGTTCGTGCGCCCGCAAGGGAAGGTCGTCCCCCTTGCTTGAGGTTGTGACTGAGTTGAGCGAGTGGGAAAGAGTTTTGGGGCAGAAGGAGACAGCAACAGCAACAGCATCATGGGAAAAGGAAAACGAGAAGGAGAGAGACAGACATATACACAGAAAGAGAGAGAGAGAAAGAAAAACAACAAATGGGGATGGGGAGGAAAACAAAAGGCGACCGAGTCAGCAACATGCTTATCACCACGTCCTTATTGTGAGGGATGAGGTGGAAGAGAAGGAGGGAGAGAATGTGGTGGAGGAGGAGGGAGGGTGGAATAAGAATGCGCATGAGGACAGGAGGAGGAGGGAGGAGGAAAGGAGGAGAGGAGGCGGACACAGCAGCGCGTGTGCGGTTGTGAGTTGTGGTTCCGCCTCGGTGACCCGTAGACCGTAGACGTCTCCAGAGGCCCCTGGAGGCCCCAGGCGGAGGAGGCCCGGAAAGCGAGGCAGAAAGTTCCAAAATGAGAGAGAGAGAGAGAGATTGAGAAAACGTCAGAGGTGCATTGTCGAGGCAGAACAGTTACAAACCGGCCAACATCGTCAAGGTGATCCGGGGGAAATTTCGGCATGCGAGCGTGCCCCGCTGCCCCCCCGCGCGCAGGTGACGATCATCGGCAAGTCGGGGCAGGTGGAGCTGGAGGACAAGATGACCGCGCTGCGCGACCGCTGGGAGAGCAGCTCGTTCGCGCTGGAGATGATGCAGGCGGGGCGCTGTGAGGAGGGAGAAACCCAGATACCTGGTCGGGGGAGAGCGCCTGAGGGCTGAACGACTTCCACTCGACGTGCGGGGTTCAATGGTCAGTCTTGGCAAACGGAGGTGGACCCAGAGAGACCGAGGTCCATCCATGTAAACTTTGGCACATGCAAAGGTATCCAGGTAAACGTGGAACAAATCTTGGACTTCCAGCGCGAGTCGATGGGCAGCAGAATCCGTCTGGGGGGGGGGGGGCGGTCTGGCGTTCCCGTGCGCCGGAGGTGATGCAGGTAGAGTGTGAGGAGCCAGACCCCCTCTCATCAACAGATCGCGGCGGGGGGCTTCGGCTATTCTCAGCCTCTAGGGGCCCTTGCCAGGCCCCAGGCTCGTGATGACAACCGAAACGGGCCCGAGGAAGGGGTCGAGACTTCTGGGGTCCATCTTCTGCAGGCCTGGCGAGCGCGCGGGCCAGTCGAGCCGATCAGGGGCGCTGAGGAACTGAGTAGGCCCATACCAGGCGGTAACAAGCAGGGCAGAGCGGTTCGAAGGGACCCCAACCATCCGACGTCGTGATTTTTCACCGCGTGGCTCCCCAGAGATCTGGACCCCTTCCAAGGGACCAGCTTTTCATCCTGAGTAGTTGTTTGATTGTCGCAGAGTTCGGTACGGACCTTGGCAGGCCGAATATTGCCAAGAAACCTAGCGTCGCGATTGTCTTGCGGCGCGGGGATGTCAGGGCTCTCGGGAAGGAGGGCGGAGTTCTTGAGAACTGCGTCCTCCCTCCTCACAGCCCTGGATCGGCGCTGGGCCCCCCTGGCGGCGCCCCCTGCAACGCCTCAGGGAGAGGGTTCCAGCGCCGATCCAGGGAATCCACGATGGCCTCCAAGAGTTTGAATCCATGAAGGTTTTGATTCTGGCTTCCGAGAGGGCACGCCATACACGCATTGATCATTTTGGCACAGACGAGCGGAACGAACTATATACATATGTTTGTATACACAGGTTGTGTATACATACATACGAAAAGACATACATACATGATCCTACATATATACAAAGTTACAGACGTACGTACAGGCATACACAGAGACATACGTATGCAGACAAGCCTGAGGAAAGCACGCACTTCTGGGAGGCCCCGCACGGATGGAACATTAGCACAGCGCACGCACAGGCTGCCTGAATCAACGTCTGCTCCCGTCGCAGGCCGAGAAGGACTTGCCGACAATATGGGGTACAACGTGGCAGCCCCAAAGGCTGTGCTGCTTGACGCACACCACGAGGCTGTGCTGCTTGACTCACACCACGAGGTGTAAGTCGCCCAGCCTGCAATCCAAAACTCATTGGGGGGGCTCCCGACTAACCCGAGCGCCTCCCCCGACCAGAGCGTTGCGAGGACCATGTTTAGGGCCGATCAGCTAGTTTCGGGGCCAGGAGTTTGCCCACCATACTACGTTATGTTTGTCCACTTCTCAGTGGCAAATAGCGGCCCAACCGCCGGACAATTATATACCATGCGACGTCCGATGGCGTTTCTTCGAAGCCCCATGGGACAGGGCCCAGACTCCTTAGTGTATATACACGCGCGGTTCCTATAATCCGATTCCCATTCGCTCGGTCATCGGCCACACTGTGAGAAAAGCAGCTCTGTGCGCCGCGTTCCCTCTCTCGGAGCTGATCGACCACTGGGGCACATCCTGGGCCCTCCGCTGGCCCGAGAAGGGACGTATGAAGACACAAATGGCCGAGGGAGGGCGAGGGGCCGAACAAGCGGCGCCTGGCTCGTCAAGGAGTGGAGGGTCGACCTAGGACGGACTGGCACGCCTAACAACCTGACCACGTTCAGCCCCGAAAGTTGGACCAGCGAAACGGGCCTGGGGCCTCTTATCGGAGGTTGATAGGAGCCCCTCCCTGCCAAGTCGATTCGCGAATCGCCGGGTTCTCGAGGGGGTGTTGCGACCTCAATGTCTCTGGGCCCCCGCCCGCCAGGTCTGATCCTCGGACGGTTTGTCTGGAGGGCGTTGTGCTATACTTAGCGGTTTTTGCCTTTCCCAGGTCTTAGTCCAGAGCACATGTTTCGCACTCGCCACGGCTCCACGGGCCTTTGGCCACTTCGGCACCTCCGGCATGCAGGGCCAAGGTGCTCTGCAGGTTCCTGGGAGTCCAGGTGATGGGCCAGAGTATTGAGGGACGCTGCTGGGCCGAACATGTGCTGCTTCAACCATTGCGACCCGGCGTGCCTCTCAATTCTGCACGCGTGCCAATGGTACCTTTTGGCGACGCTACCCGCAGAATTCGAACTGGGGGTGTTCAAAGGTGCTTTGCCGAGACGACGCCCTGTGATCCTCGAAGACAGTGTCGCAATCGCGGCATCGGTAAAGGCGAGTTGCATCGGCTGTGCGCAAGCAGGAAGGACCCTCCTCGTACTTCGCCTCCTCCTCCTTATCCTCCTGCTCCCCCTCGTGTTCCACCTCCTCCGTCTCCTCGGCCAGCCAGTGGCTAGCGTTGCAGTATGTGTATTGCGAAGGCCTTACGGCCAGCGCCGCCGACCCCGAATTCGTGACCTCCCGCGGGACTCCCGCTGGCGACCTCCCGCGTGACCCGCCGCGAACCCGGGGGGACCAGTATTCTGACCCAGAGCCCCCCCCTTCCACCCCCCCCCACCCCCCACCCCCCATCCTTGTGCCTTATCAGAATATACCCCCACCTACGTCGTATTCCGGCCGACAGCGACCCAATCCGGGACCTCCCATCCGGACTGTTAAAAATCAATACAGAGTGGCCGTTTTTCTTCTCAACATCGTTTTTCTTGTCGTCGACGATGCGAAAAGCGTGGCAGGAATGGGACGCGGCGCGCATCGCGCGCGGCAGTCAATCCGGGCCCGCCCATCCTGATTGTAAAACATCAATACAAAGTCTTTGTTTTTTCCTCTCAGCATGGCCTGTCTTGTCGCCGACGGTGCGAAATATGTAGCAGGAATGGGACGCGGCGCAAATATGGGACGCGGCGCACATCGAGCGCGGCCGTCAATCCGGGCCCGCCCTTCCTGACTGTAAAAAATCGATACGAAGTCTCCGCTTTTTCCTCTCAGCATGGCTTGCCTTGTCGCCGACGGTGCGAAATATGTGGCAGGAATGGGACGCGGCGCGCATCGCGCGCGGACGTCCATGCGGGCTGCGGGCCCTCCCATCCTGATTGTAAAAAACAATACAGAGTTGCCGTTTTTCTTTTCATCATGGCCTGTCTTGTGGCAGGAATGGGGCGCGGCGCACATCGCGCTCGGACTTCTGGGGCAAGCCCAAGGCGGGAGGGGCCACCTTACTTGTCAGAAACAATGCCATGCTGATTTTCCCTGCCAACATAGCTGTTCTTGTCGTCCACCCCGCAAAAGTGCATGGCAAGAATTGGGCGCGGCACACCCCCCTCCCACCCCGCTCGAAGTGAATGAAATGACCTTCCCGCTTGGGCGCCGAGCGAATTTTTCTCAAAGTTGCGCTCCCGCTTTGGCTCGGCGCACGTTTTTAGCTCGCCAATTCATTGGGCGCCGGGGCGTTCCAGGAGGCCCTGGGGTGACGAATGCCTGCGAGGTTTTTGCATATTCAGGCTCTTGGAGTCAGGAGGCTCCCCGCGGTTCTTGGCGCTACGGCCGTCTGGAGGCCATCTTGGGCTTCTTGAACGATCTTTCGGCGACCCAGGGCCCCTCGGATCGTCTCGGGGGCGTCTCGGCTCTCTTAGGGCGTTCCTGGGGCGCTCTGGGACCTGGAAGTCAGCGCCGAAGAAGAAAACCATCGCTGGGACTGGCGTGCCCAGGACCTTCTCGGGTTTTTTTTCGTCCGGGGGGCCCCAGGGGCCGCCCCGCGCGTGCAAACTAGAAGCTTGTTAACTAGTTACCAGAGATCTCAGCACGCCTCTGGCCCGTGGGGCTGGCCCGGGACCTGCGCATATGGGGCGCGGCGCACATCGCGCGCGGGGAACGTCTAGCCGCCCACGGTATAAGATAAACGACGGGCGTCGGACGCGACGCGCTTGCTTCTTATGTTGTGGGAGGGCGGGTGGGAGTGGACGGAGCCCTCTCGCTCGTTCGAGCTGGCTAACTTGACACACACCCCACCCCCACCCCCCAGCAGGAAAACGATAAAGGGAAGGGGCTTCCCTTCGTTTTGACTACGACGTTTCTTGTCCTTGTTCCTCACTTTCCTTGCGACGGTCGTTGTCCGAAGGTCGTCGGATTCTTTCTGTTCGCCTGGTGCCTCGTTCTTGGGGCCCCTCGTCACCTGGAGCCCATGGAGCCTCCTCCGTCTCCCCGGGCGCCCGGATGTACGCGAAGTTTGCCTCGCCTCACCAGCAACTCGCGGCTCGGAGCCTCCAAGCTGGGTGGCCCGGCCCTCCCCCTCCGCAGGCCAACCCCGCCTGCGTGGAGCAGGAGCGCGACAGCATGGCAGTGCGCAGCACCCCCCCGATCCACGCCTCGATCCCCAGCCCGCAGCCGCAGTGGTCGCTCACGGCCGGCGCGCCCAAGGTCCGACCCTCGCCCGAAGATCACGGGACACGCTGGGAGGTCCGCGGACGATTCGTGTGCACCGTGCCAAGCTGGCGTCTCCCAAGGCCCGTCGAAACTCGACCTGGGAATGGTACGGTGTATTGTTTTCCGGCCCTCAGAGCCGAAGAACTATGCATCCCACCGCGCTGGAGCGGGTCGTGAAGGGAGTCCAGGCGTGGTACGGAGCATGCGCCCCGTCCTCGTAGGAGAGGCCCCCTTCCCCAGTCGTCGAAGAGCAGAGGTCTGCCTGTTACCTGAAAACACGTGATTCGGCTGGCCTGGGCGAGAGTTGGATAAGTACACATGTGGCCAGATGTCCTGGAAGTTGGTCGAACACCCATCTTGCCAAGTCAAGTCGAGAATTGCCCGTTTGCGGTTCTCGAGGGGGCATTGCTTCGCAATGTCCGCGGGCCTGCGCCCGCTATGTCTGTCCAGGGTCGTCTTCATGAAAGGGTGTTCGGCTAAAGGGGATTATGTGGCCGTGTACGCCGGATTTCTGCACGTGTGTAAGTTGCGTGGCTTGCGGATGTTCCACATGGGAATTCTTACGTGTTAGATCCAGCTTCTTAGCAATTTGAGGGTTCCTGGGAAGAGCTCGCCTTCAAAGAGGTTGAGAGGTTGACCTCTGTTCGTGGGCGGATGTGGGCAGAAGCAAAAGTAGGGTTCTCAAGGGATGCTTTAGCAGGGATTCAGTGTTCAAATGTCAACCAGTACGACACACAAGAAAGACGCACGGTTGACGAGGGGAGCCGAACGGGGAGAGTTACCACTGGCTGGGGCAGCATGCGTTCTCGTCCCGCCTTTTTGGTCACCAGCATCCAGGAGGAGGCGCCAACATCAGTTTCCGGAGGTCCGCGCAGTTTTCCACGGGCGCTCGGCACTGCGCCACTCGTACCCCGTCCTTGGCGGTGCCTCGCTGCGCCGCCTCCAAGGCGCGCTTCGCGCTCGGGGGGTTCGGGTGCGGGGACCCGGGGGGGCCGGCGCCTGCACACGGGGCCCACGCGGATTTGCCCTTCGAGGGGCCAGTGGCCACCCCGCCTATAACCACAGCAGGACGCGGCTCGGGAGGAAAGGGGCAAGGACGCGCCTGGGGGCGAGTCCAGAGACCAGTTCTTAGTTGCGTCTCAGCCGTAGGGAACAGGTGGAACCTGGCATTTCGGGGTCGTCCAAGCACCACGACTGGCTCATTCGCTCCCTCCTGGGCTTCGGAGGTCCTCTCGGATCGATCCAGCTCGAGGATTCCAGCCGAGATTCCCGGCATCTTGTTTCTACTGCCTTGTGATTTCTCTTGCGGGCTATAGTTCATATTGGCAGGCCCGTATGGCCCGCTTCGTTCACGTTGCTCCCGCTGGGGCATCTGTACCATTGAAACATCTACGCCCCACCATGTGGACTACAGTACGGGCGCAGGCGCAAGAAACCCTCGCAAGGAATCCCAACCCTGAAAACCCGCGCGCGAGGTGCACCTGAGAGGAAAACCCGGAGCACCATGAACCCAGCCGCTCCTTCCCCAGCTGCGGGAAGCCATCGCGCGGCGCGCGGAGCAAAGACACGCAGGATACCCTGACGAAAAGCAGATGGTTCTTGATGCGCGCCCCCACTGTAGGCCCGCACGCGTTGGCCCATACATGTCCGTATTGTGTTGTTCTGCGGATTCGCGCGGTCTCTCTCTCTCTCTCTCTCTCTCTCCCTCTCTCCTTCTCGACAGATAGGCATGAGCTTGCGTGTGTCTCTCTCTCTCTCTCTGTCTTGTCTGCTTCTCTCATTCGCTTTCTCCAGCGCTCGCTCTCATGTCTCTTGCTTTCTCTCTCTCTCTCTTCTCTCCTTCTCTTCCGACGTCTACATGTACACATAGTATTATGACATGGGTAGTCGTATTTATTTATCTTGTTCTCTCTCTCTCTCTCTCTTTCTCTTTCTCTTTCTATCTCCCCCCTGTCAGGCTCTATATCTCCTGCTCACATGGGCGCGCATAATCTAGGCAGGAATACCCGCAATGCAAATGTCAGGCGTTGCTTGTGTCTTCCGAGGTTCACTCTTGCTGGGTTTCGCTTTGGCAATGGAGCTACATCTTTTCCGTCGGTTGGAAGGGGCAGGACCCCATCCCGTGCACGGATCCTCAGAATTGAGGTCCTTCGATTGTGGATCTTGACGGGTCCTTCCTTTGCTGGGGCAAGGCGGATGACGCATCTCCTTCATAAAACATTTGTTCTCTTGCACATGGTGTCTAGAGCTCCGACCATTTTATTCCGCGTCGCACACACACACACACACACACACACACACACACACCGCGTCCCCAGCGCCAGAGTGGGACCCCCGCGCCGTGGCTCTCTGCCCTGAGCTCCCCCGCGTCCCCAGCGCCCCAGCGGGAGCCCCGCCCACTGCCCCCTTCCGCCACGAACGCTTTATTCTGCGTCGGTCCCCCCCCCCGTCCCCAGCGCCAGAGTGAGACCCCCGCGCCGTGGCTCTCCGCCCCGAGCCCCCCCGCGTCCCCAGCGCCCCAGCGGGAGCCCCGCCCACTGCCCCCTCCGCCACGAACGCTCGAACGCTTAATTCCGCTTCCGCGTCGCACACACACACACACACACACACACACACACACACACACACACACACACACACACACACACACACACACACACACACACACACACACACACACACACACACACACACACACACACACACACACACACACACACACACACACACACACACACACACACACACACACACACACACACACACACACACACACACACACACACACACACACTCCCCGCTTCCCCAGCGCCTGAGTGGGACGGACCCCCGCGCCGTGGCCCTCTGCCCTGAGACCCCCCGCGTCCCCAGCGCCCCAGCGGGAGCCCCGCCCACTGCCCCCTCCGCCACGAACGCTTCATTCCGCGTCGCGAAGCACAACACTTCCCCCACCTCCCTCCCCGCGTCCCCAGCGACCCAGTGGGGGTTCCGCCCCGTGCCTTCTCCGCCTCCAAGTTTATTCCGCGTCGCGACGCACACCACCTCCCCCCCTCCCCACCTCGTCCCCAGCGCCCCATTTGGACCCCCTGCCCCGTGGCCCTCTGCCCCAAGCCCCACCCAGTGCCCCCCCCGCCCCGACCAGTTGATTCCGCGTCGCGACGCGCATCACTTCCCCCCCCCCCGTCCGCGCCCCCAGCGCCCCAGTGGGACCTCCGCCCCGTGCCCCTCTCCGTTCCGAGCACTTTATTCCGCGTCGCGACGCACGCCACCTCCCCCCCTCCCCACCTGGGATTTGGGCCCCGTTGCTGAGCCTCGCCGAAGGGCGATGTCTTGTCCACAATTACTCAACATGAATACTACTCTCCCTCTTCCCCTGATGACGTGCTGGGAGTGTTCGCCCCCCCCCGCGTCTTGTTTTTTTACACAGGTTTCCCGGGAGTTGGGTTTTCGCTTGCATTTGTTTCAAAATGCTGCTCTCGCCGAGGCGCCGGCCTCATTTTCGGGCCCCGCTCGTTCCGAATCGTGTTCCCGCTGCAGCGCTGGCCTCATTTCCGCGCTTCCGCAGGTTGCGAATCGTGCTCCCGCTGCAGCGCTGGCCTCATTTCCGCGCTTCCGCTCGTTTCGACTCGTGCTCCCGCTGCAGCGCTGGCGTCATTTCCCGTGCCATGCCACGGCGTGCAATGCAATGCTAGGTTGATACTGCGCTTTGCGGTGCTCTTCTACGCCATGCCACGCCGTGCTCTACAATGCATCGCGTACCCTTTCGGGATCATTGCCCTGCTCGACATCCGACTGTGCGAGTAGAGAAGGGATCTGCGCCATGGTAAGGGATGGGAGGGAGGGGTAGGATGTCAGATATGACGCGATCGCACCTAGCTTGCTTCATCCCCCTCCTCCACCTCATCCTCCTCCCCCTTCCTTTTTTTTTTGCAAGAACCATTGCACACGTGCCACGTGTTTCCGGAGTCGGTACCGCATCTCATCGCAGCGAGTTGCTGGCCAGTTATTTAGGGTACAACTCTTGGGAGGTCCAACTCGGTCAGCATCCGCGCAAATATATCCGTTGTCGAGGGCCGACCTGATCGTGCACAGCCCCGCTTCATTCCGCTTCATCCGGCTCTGCTTCAGCTCCGCTTCGCCCTGCGCTGGTGTTGCCGCTTCCCTTGCGATCTCCATAGTCGGTTGCTGTGGAAGTGTGTTGCTCCGGTCGCCGAAAATCAATCTGCTTCATCTGGAGGTTAATCTTGGGTTCAATCTGGGCGACTCTGTTTTAATTGGGCTCAATCGCCCTGAATGCTTCTCACGAGGACCTCCGAGGAGCTGCTGGCTAAAGTCCTGGCCACCCAGCCGACCGCAGGTCGGCATCGTGCGCGAGGAGGGCAGCAACGGCGACCGCGAGATGGCCGCCGCGTTCCGCCTGGCGGGCTTCGAGTGCTGGGACGTAACAATGACCGACTTGGCCAGCCGGGGCACACGCATTTTAGATGTTCGTTTGGGAGACCTTCCCGTGGCCCACCTATCGCATTTGTTCGACGGACGTTCGACGCAGCATCGACGCTTGAGCGGAGCGAGTGACTCCAAGAAGGTTTCCATGGCGAGCATCTAAACTACTGTAGGTTCGTGTCGTGTCGACACGGCGGCGGGGGACGGATGGAACATGTTTTGCCTTTGGGGGCCCTTACCGATCCCCAAGACCGTAACTAACGTTTATCTTGTTTCGAGCGATCCTCACCCGAGAACGCGAGGCGGAATCTCCGGGGAGTTCTTTCACACCTTGGGCCTGACGGCCACTGCATGCAGGGTGTGCGCGGCGGGCCGTGAGCCCTTCTCTTCAAGCCTGATACCTCATCCTCTCGAGGACTGAGGATGAATTGCCAGTCTCCAGAACCAAGCAGTGGCGAAGCGTCCTGGCTCGCCTATAGGCCTACCAAAGATTGTTCTAAGAACCTGTTGTGGTTTCCACGATTTTGTCTTACAACTTTTCTGGTTGGGACTGTCTTGTTTCAACATATCGGGTTTATGTTCTAAGAACATTGTTCTTGTTCTTAGAACATTTTTGGGTTCAATGACAATTTCGTGGTAGGCCTATAGGAATGCCGGGCCGGCCGGCCCCTGCTTAACAGAAAGCGGTCTAGACCTCTGGGGGGCCACGCTGCGACAACAGCCACGACGCAGGGCGTCTGGGCGCGTCCAGCCGTCGCCGCGAGGCCCCCCCTCCCCCCCAAAAGCCCAGAAAGGACTCTTCCACCCTGTCTCCTCTCGGGCTGGAGAGCACGGGGTCGGGGATGGGGGGGGAGATACGACATTTGGTGTGTCGAGACAAACGTGGGGGGGGGGGTCCCCAGGGGCTGGTGTAGGGAGCCGCCCCTCGAGGAGAGAGCCCCAGCCGAGCCCAGATATCTCCCCCTCCCCCTTTTGGTCTGACGTGGGACCCTCGGGCCGGACGACCGGGGGGGGCACTGGGAAGCGGGGGAGCTCCTCCTCGCACTTCGTTGGGCTCGATCCTCTCGTTGGGCTCGACCCTCTCCGCACGTCTCCACGGGGACCTCCGAAGGTCGCCAGGAGACTCGCTGAGATACCATGCAGGAGCGCCCCAGAACCTTGACCCTCGATGCTCCAATCCGCGCGGCGCCTTGTGGAGCGCTTCTCTGGCCATTTTTGCTAATTGAGGGCCTGCAGGCTGCAGGGGCGCCCAGCAACCTCGATTCTCGATGCGGACAGTTTTTGGAGCCCTTCTTGGGAATTATTTAGCGGCCGAAAAGCCCAACTGAGGGCCTGGAGTGCTCCAAAGACCTCGAACCCCGAAGTTTGAACAGCCCCACTCGTGCCGCAAATGAGGGGGTGGCGGCACAGTTGGACAGCAGGGGATTTTTTCTGAAAAAAAAACCCTGCTGTCCGTCCAACTGTGTCTGCCCCTCTTCTGCCTTCTTTCTCGCCTCGCGCTGCCCAGAGCGTGTAAGCGTTCGTGGCAACTCATTGCGCATTGAGGCTCGCATCATCTGGCCGATTCTGGAAACTCTGAAATATGACGTGTCACTTTCACTTACGCCGCCTTCAGTTGGCGGGCCCGCATCCATTTTACTTCCGCCGGGTTCTGCCAGCCTTCCGTTGGCTTCCGATTAGGGCGAGGACGCGAAAAAAGCGAGGCCCGCTTTGGAGCGCCCCGCATCTGTACATATTTCTTGGCTGCCCTCCAGCTCTCGCTCCCGTGGTCGTCTCTAAATCTCAACTCCGGCTCCTATGTCTCGAACTCTGGCTCACATGCCTCCGACTCCAGCTCCCATCTTTCCAAATCCAGCTCCATTGGTCATCTCTTCGACTCCGGTTCCCCTGTGACTGACTCCGACTCCGGCGTGCTCGTCCGCGCGACCACACTGCGGGCGATAGTTATATCCACATCCAGTGCGTCTTGGAGGTTGGGGCTCTTTCCCCCAGAAGCCGGAGACGCACTGGATATGGATAAGCATCTGGCCCCAAGAGGCTGGATTTTATCCATATCCAGTGCGCCTCGGCCTTGCGGCACCCCTTCCCAAAAAGTCCAAGACGCTCTGGATCAGGGTACAAGCATTGCCCGCACACGCGTCGCGCGACCACACGTGACAGCGGCCTGGGCCTTCGCCCCAGAAGCAGACGGGCCTCTTGCCGCGTGCCTATGGCTTTCTTCTTCCGTGCCGGCACCCCGACGCCCGTCTGGCGCACCCGCGCGGGCGCTCCGTGCGGGGTTGTGTGTGCTGTGCCTCCGAGGGCAGGGGAAGGAGGGGTTGGAGTCGAGCCTGCCCCTCTACAGGAGGAATATCCAAAAACAGTGAACAATAGTCTGGGGATGATGTTTAAGTATGTTTGAGCATTTTTATTGGATATTGTTTGACTGTGTTTAATGTTTCCCAACCGTCCTTGGTTGGGTGTTCATTCTGAATAGAGGACTGTGGTCGCGTCCTCCTGATCCCGCCTCCCTCCTGCCTCCTGCCCGTCTTGCCTCGGGGGTGGGGGCTGGGATCTGTGAAACTGTCGCAACTGTCGAGGGCTGCTGGGGGGTCCAGCACAGTGACGTCCTACGCAGACCCAACTTGGACCTCGCCATCCCTGGGGGGCTGCGATCTTGTGAAACTGTCGCCACTTTCGAGGGCCGCTGGGGGGTCCAGCACAGTGACGTCCTACGCAGACCCAATTTGGACCTCGCCATCCCTGGGGGCTGCGATCTGTGAAGCTGTCGCCACTTTCGAGGGCCTGCTGGGGGATCGAGAGCAGTGACGTCCTACGCAGACCCAACTTGGACCTCGCCATCCCTGGGGGCTGCGATCAGTGAAGCTGTCGCCACTTTCGAGCGCTGCTGGTGGGTCGAGCATAGTGGCGTCCTACGCTGACTCAAATTAGCCCTCGCCATCGCTGGGGGCTGCGATCTGTGAAGCTGTCGCCACTTTCGAGGGCTGCTGGGGGGTCCAGCACAGTGACGTCCTACGCAGACTCAGACGGGACCTCGCCATCCCTGGGGGGCTGCGATCAGTGAAGCTGTCGCCGCTTTCGAGGGCTGCTTGGGGGGTCCAACACAGTGACGTCCTACGCAGACCCAACTTGGACCTCGCCATCCCTGGGGGGCTGCGATCAGTGAAGCTGTCGCCACTTTCGAGGCCTGCTGGGGGGTCCAGCACAGTGACGTCCTAGGCAGACTCAGACGGGACCTCGCCATCCCTGGGGGGCTGCGATCTGTAGGCAGACCCAATTTGGACCTCGCCATCCCTGGGGGGCTGCGATCTGTGAAATTGTCGCCACTTTCGGGGGCTGCTGGGGGGGCATACCCAACTTGGACCTCGCCATCCCTGGGGGGCTGCGATCTGTGAAGCTGTCGCCACTTTCGAGGCCTGCTTGGGGGTCCAGCACAGTGACGACGCGCATAATCAACTTAGACCTCGACGTCCCCGGGGGGCTGCGATCTGTGAAGCTGTCGCCACTTTCGAGGGCTGCTGGGAGGGGGGGGGTCCAGCACAGTGACGTCATAGGCAGACCCAACTTGGACATCGCCATCCCTGGGGGGCTGCGATCTGTGAAGCTGTCGCCACTTTCGAGGGCCGCTGGGGGGTCCAGCACAGTGACGTCCTACGCAGACCCAACTTGGACCTCGCCATCCCTGGGGGGCTGCGATCTGTGAAGCTGTCGCCACTTTCGAGGGCCTGCTGGGGGGTCCAGCACAGTGACGTCCTACGCAGACTCAGACGGGACCTCGCCATCCCTGGGGGGCTGCGATCAGTGAAGCTGTCGCCGCTTTCGAGGGCTGCTTGGGGGGTCCAGCACAGTGACGGGCTACGCAGATTCAAATGGGACCTCGCCATCCCTGGGGGGCTGCGATCTGTGAAGCTGCCGCCGCGTTCGAGGCCTGCTGGGGGGTCCAGCACAGTGACGTCCTACGCAGACCCAACTTGGACCTCGCCATCCCTGGGGGGGCTGCGATCTGTGAAGCTGTCGCCACTTTCGAGCGCTGCTGGTGGGTCGAGCACAGTGACGTCCTAGGCAGACCCAACTTGGACCTCACCATCCCTGGGGGGCGCGATCTGTGAAACTGTCGCCACGTTCTAGGCCTGCTAGGGGGTCCAGCACAGTGACGTCCTACGCAGAGTCAGACGGGACCTCGCCATCCCTGGGGGGCTGCGATCAGTGAAGCTGTCGACGTTTTCGAGGCCTGCTGGGGGGTCCAGCACAGTGACGTGCTACGCAGATTTCAATGTGACCTCGACATCCCTGGTGGGCTGCGATCAGTGAAGCTGTCGCCACTTTCGAGGCCTGCTGGGGGGTCCAGCACAGTGACGTGCTAGACAGACCCAACTTGGACCTCGCCATCCCTGGGGGGCTGCGATCAGTGAAGCTGTCGCCACTTCCGAGGGCCGCTGGGGGGTCCAGCACAGTGACGTCCTACGCAGACCCAAGTTGGACCTCGCCATCCCTGGGGGCTGCGATCAGTGAAGCTGTCGCCACTTTCTAGGCCTGCTAGGGGGTCCAGCATAGCAACGTCTCACGCATATTCAAATTAGACCTCGCCATCCCCGGGGGGTTGCGATCTGTCAAGCTGTCGCCGCTTTCGAGGCCTGCTGGGGGGTCGAGAGCAGTGACGTCCTACGCAGATTCAAATTAGACCTCGCCATCCCTGGGGGGCTGCGATCTGTGAAGCTGTCGCCACTTTCGAGGCCTGCTGGGGGGTCCAGCATAGTGACGTCCTAGGCAGACTCAGACTGGACCTCGCCATCCCTGGGGGGCTGCGATCAGTGAAGCTGTCGCCACTTTCGAGGCCTGCTGGGGGGTCCAGCACAGTGACGTGCTACGCAGATTCAAATTAGACCTCGCTATCCCTGGGGGGCTGCGATCAGTGAAGCTGTCGCCACTTTCGAGGCCTGCTAGGGGGGCCAGCATAGTGGGGCCCCGCGGCGGACTCAAATGGGATTTCCCAAATGCTTGCCGCAGAATTCCATTCGTCCATGTCTCGTCATCGCCCCCTTCTAAAGTCGCCCAAGCTACTCATGCCCCGCATTGCGCAGGGGTTGGGTACGTCGCCAGGGTAATTCGCCCAAAATCCGGCTGTGGGGGGACATGCCCGACCTACTGATGGGGAGGGGGGGCGCGGCAGGCCAAGGGGGCGATCGGCCTCGAGCAGTTCCGAGGGCTCGCGTTCGTCGGCGGCTTCTCCTACGCCGACACGCTCGGCTCCGCCAAGGGCTGGGCGGCCACGTGCATCTTCCAGCCCACGGTCGCCGCGCAGCTGGGCGCCTTTTACAAGCGGACGGACACCTTCTCCCTCGGCGTATGCAACGGCCGCGGGGGGCGGTCTTCAAGGCCGCCCAAAACGGACTCCGAGCAGAGGGGGTCGGAGGATCGTGCCGCGTCGCCGACGCATCGGCGGTGCGGCTCGATGCGAAGCTCGATCTTCTGCATCCCGACGTCGCTGGTGCATCGCTGATGTGCCGGCGACGCGGCGCGATTCTCCCACCCTACCTGCTCAGACCCGATTCGGGAGGCCGCCAGGGTCGGGCGATTCATTCCCTCTTTAGGCCTCTCGGGGCGCCCTCTTGGCCACGGGCCGTGCGCAGCTTGACACGCTGGCCGGACCGCACTTCATAAGGACAGGTCCACGGGGTCGGCTTTCAGGGAAGAGAGCTCAGGCCTCCTTGGCATCGAAAGTATCGCGACGGTCGTAATCGTTTTGTCTGAGTCGTCCGCCTCCGAAGGCCCACGTCGGGCCCGAGGGCATCACGCAAGTACCCTAGAAGCACTGCCCATGGACAAAGCACTTGTCCACGGGAGAAGGTTGAGAGGTCTAGGGTCCCACGCTGCGAGGAAGAGCATGACTTCAGACGTCTGGGGACCTCCTCCTCCTCCTCCTCCTCCCCTCCGAAGACTCGAACGCGCGGCCACAGGGAAATTCGCGCGGAACGTGCACGCGCGAACTACAGGATGTGCATATGGGCACGGCGGGCGCCCTCGCCAGAGTCATGGCCGAGCGCGGGAAAAGACTTGCGGCCTCGTGTGCACTACGCTCTCGCCCAGACCAGCAAGGCCATATGCATCGAGGGCCCTGGCATGCAAAGCACCCTCGCCCACCGGCACGCGTCGTCCGAAGACGCTGCTCGCGGGCGCCCGCGGGGCCGTCCAAGAATCCTCGCTTGGCGCCCTTGGGCGCGTCCAGACATGGGGCCCTTGGCGAGCAAGAGAAGCCACCCGCCCGCTTTTCTGCCAAAAGCTACCCCCGCGACCACTGCCATATTCGTTCGCCAGTTTCTCTGCGAAATCCTGCCTAACTGCAGCCCGATCGAACAAACTTAGCGGGGAAATCGACGGCCTTTCCTGGGGGGCGCTCGCGGGCGGGGTCGACGGGCGGGCGGGCTCGCGCCCCTCTGGGCCATCCCCTGCGCTCTCCCTTTTCTGCAAGTTTCCTCAGCAGGAAAGTCGCCCCGCGGCGAGGATCGGTCAACGCCGCGCCCCGGCATTCGCGCGCCGCTCGACCTACAGCCAGAGCGGGGATTGGGAAAATATCTAAGTCTTTGGATGCCAGGTGTTCATCCACGCCCCGCCCCCGTAGCGGCCACGGTGGAAGGCAGCAGCAGGGGCACGGATAGGGCATCGATCGTCTTGTCCTCTCTCCTTGCTCGTCTCGGCGCGCCGCCTGATGATCCCGAGACGAGGCACGCTCTCCGTGGCCACGCCAGGGGGATATAGGCTCAGAGGGGGATGCATCGGCCCACTATCGTCCATTGATCGCCAGCTGGGGCATGATAGCCCGTCCCGCTCAGGAACGTGCGGTTTCCCTATCGGGGGCCGGTCGCCGATCCACCCGCGATGCATCGTCGATTCCAAGTGGATGTCTCTTCCCCCCTGAGCCGTTCCCCCCCTAACGTTGCCTCTCACCCGTGCCGCCCCAAACCCGGATGACGGAGCGGCCCCCGCGCGCGGCCGCGCGCGCACGTGCGCGGACGTGGGAGCGAGCATCGGGACTAGCGGGGTGGAGAAGCTCCCCAGGAGTTGGCCGAGGCTTGCCGTGGCCAGAGGATCAGGCGATCGCAAACATGGATCAAGGGGGCGTGGATTAGCGACGGGTCCCGCTTGCATGGGAAATCGCGGATTTCCGCCGCCGAGCGATGCGGCACCGGCCGCATTTTGGGGAGCACCCCCCCGATCCATGGATTTGGCGACCGAGCGCCAAATCCATGGATTGCTAATCTATGTTTGCGCGCCCCCGAGAGGAGCCAGTTCGTTCCCTACTCAGCGCCTCAATCCCTTGCGGACGTTCCACCGTCCCCCCTCCCCCCAGGCTGCCAGCTGCTGCACCGGCTGCAGTGGGTGCCATTCGGGCCCGGGGCCGTGCCCGAGGAGGACGCCCCGCGGCTGGCGCACAACGAGTCCGCCAGGTTCGAGTCGAGGCACCTCTCGTGGGCGAGAAAAACAAATGGGGTCACAAGCCGATAGTTCGGCCGTGTTCCATGAGACTGCACTGCTGCGGTCGGTTTTTCTTCGGGGGAACGCGCTGGTTTCGGCCAGGTGTGGGATCCCAGAGGGGTCCCAAACCCTCGCGTTCCACGCTGTCGCCCCTGCGACCAGCGCCGACGTAGAGGGTCTAGGCCCACGCGCAGGCTCATGTTTCCACGACATCATGTCCTGCCGCGGCCCGATGGGTGCAGCGCAGCGTGGAGGGGTGTCACGGCCAGGACCATGATACCTCCCAGGTTTCATGGCCCTTTCTTCTTCTTCTTCTTCTTTCAACACGTCCCCTGGCCACCACTCGTCCGTGCACACACACACACACACACATGCCTCGGGCCAGGACGCGCTGCCCCCCCCCCTCTTCCCGTCCGCCCTCCTCGGCGCACCCCAGGCCTCTGGCTTCAAAGGCACAGGTCGTGATGCCTGCAGTGTTCGTGGCGGGGGCGGGCCATGGGAGCTGGGTGGCAGATGAGATCGTGGACGGACGCTCGAACAACTGTCATTTCCGCGCTCCCATGCGTGCCCGCAGGTACATCAACCTGCGCGTGGAGAGGTCGAGCAGCATGTGGTTCGCGGGGCCGAGAAACAGACGGACAGGGCGGCGTAGCGAAGCACACTCTTGGAGGATCAGGGCCAGAACGGACCTCCCACTCCAGGGAGGAGATGGGATGAGGAGGGAGGAGGAGGGGGCGAAGGGGGTTCATCCCAATCGCCAGTCCCCTTCCCTCCTAAATCAAACCCATGTGCCTATTACCATGGTTGGGGAGTGGAGGGGTTGCGAATCTGTTGCGCGCAGCTGGTTTCGGCCCCGCCGCCTGGCGATTCCCTCGATGCATGGGCGTGTTTCGCAGGACACAGGCAGGAGCTAATGAGCAAGCACTACAGTTAAGCAGGATCATAAGGACAAAACACTCTCCAAGGGCGCCCTTGCGTCCTTGCCCCTTCGGCCTTTTCTTTGCCTCTTCGGTCCGTCAAGCGCCGCTCAAAATGTTCACTTGTTCGTCCTAGGCCCTTGCGTCCTTACCGCGCGTCCTTATGATGTGATCTCAGTGTACCCATTCAAGAACAGACTGCGACTTTACAGTGGCACCGTCATGCTCACAATGCTGTGCAGCGCAGAAGCGTGAACCGTAACATTAGCCACTCAGACACCAACTACGCCGCACACAACGACAGGTGGTCAGGGCGATCATCGGAACACCGAGGTGGCGTATCAAGACTGGTCTGCGAACGCACGTCGCCCCACCAACGGACAACCAGAGAGACCACGATCCTGGCAGTAACCCTCCAGCGACCGCAATATCCAGCAACCCACCTGCACCGTCAGAGCGGCCCAGCGCACGTGGAGGCGGCAGCAGCGACGCACTCTAGCAGACCGAACCCGCAGGCGACGGACGACGACGAGTTCCGGTCAGGCAGGCTATGTCCGCCGGAGCATGCGCAGAGCCGAGGAGCTCTTGAATAAGCACGACATCTCTGGTGATGTCGAACAGCCACCTGGTCTGTCGCTGGGCCGTATGTGTTGTAGGCCACCCACCAAGCAGATGGACACAACAAGTCTTGAATTGAGACCCGACCCTCGACACGAACCACCACGACTCAGGAGGGAACAGCAACACACATACACAATTAATTGTCGATTCCCCAGAAGATACGGGATAATATAGGAAGTGTGGGGGGGGAAGACGAAAACCCATAGGTGCATACAGAGCTAGCATAGGAGCACTGGCGAATGTGGCACACTGATCAGCATCAATCGGTATCGTTTAACCAATCCCCATCCCCATCCCCTTTGAGACCCCCACCCAATTACCACCCAAGTTGGGGACATACCCCTGGAAACAAGACGGAAACGGCCTATATCCCCATCTAGGGGGGTAAATCGACCACAGGGGCCCAGGCCACGCCGCTGGGGATGGGGATCGTGAAGCGATACTCAATCAACAAGACCAACCGACCACGACGATGAATCCACTGTGACGGTATCGATGTCAGATGGCCCACGGCCGCGGCGGACGTGGCGTGGCGGACCTCGCTTGAGAGCACACTCCTCGCATGCGCAGACTGACACTGCAGACCCCAACACCAGGAGCACCAGCACCGACAAGCAGCACCGACAAGCATCATCGAAAACCAGCACCTACCAAAACCAGCTCGTGCGCCTGTTCCTTGACATCTCCCTCCCGCTCTTACCTTTCCTTCTCCAGAACCCTGGTCTGCTGCTCCGACTCTGGCTCCGACTCCGCCTTCGATTTCCCCGGCCCCACCCCGCTCTCCGTCTCGAGCTCCTGCCCTCCGAATCCGGCTCCGACCCCAGGCCCGTTTCTCCGACTCCTTTTGACCGACTTTGGTCTCCGATTTCAGCTCCTGCCGACTCCGGCGCCCGTGTCTATTTATCCGACTCTGGCTCTCCCTCTCCGACCCCAGATCCCATGTCCCCGACTCCTGCTCCCGCTTGTCCGACCTTGGGCCCCTTGCCAGCCTGACACATCTCCCCCATCCCTGTGATTGGCATCGCATTGGCTAGATGCCGATCTCGAGGAGTCTCTCGATTTTCTGAAGGACCATCCCTAATATCAACCATCGTACTGGCCCTGGCCGAGTTTCGGGACAGGAACAAGTGCCTGGTGCGAGGCTGATTCCCCCAGTTGCCGACTTCGGCACGCACCCGCGCCCGTCTCTAAGTTGTTTCGATTCCGACTCCAGAGATCACGAGCTGACAACTAACACCCAGACCTATACGTCCCTTAGAACCCCTGCGGTGGGACGGGGCTCCCCGCCCAAATAGGACCCCCCCTCGGGGGCCGACACCTCGCAGCCATTCCTATAGCGTGTTCCCCGCCTTGCCCTTTCCATTCCTTCCTTCCTGCAGGCCTGAGTGTGTATTCGAGGGAAAAAACGCAGACACAATTAATCGTCGACTCCCAGGATGGTATGGGAAAATATGGGAAATGTGTGGGGGGGGAGACAAAACACCCAGAACATATAGGAAAATATGGGGCATCCTGTTATTGGTGCCTATTTATTTGTGTGTGCCGGGGCCCCTCCATGCTGACCTGGAGATCCCGCCCGTCCCACTCCGCCTCCCGCCCTCGGACTCCGGCCGTGCCCGGTGCCCATTTTCGCTCCGCTCCGTGGGCGCCGCGTCGCCCGCGCGCTGGCTCCCTGCTCGTGGCCTCCCGCCTCGTCCGCGGCGGCTCTCGTGGCCGATGCAGGTGGGGAAGAAGCACGCAGGCACAATGATGGGAAAATGTAGGAAAATATGGGAAACATGTGGGAAAGTGTGAGAAAGACTTCATCGGCGATTCCCAGACAAGAGTATGGGAGAATGTGGGAAAAGATGGGGGGGAGCACGAGGGCCCTGGAAAAAGCACGGGAAGGCATGGGGGATCCTGTGATTTGTGTCTATGTTTGTTTGTGTGTCCTTGGGCCCCTTGGACCATCGTGAGGCCACGGCCTCTCTCGCGCGCGCCCTGCCCCAAGAAATGGCACAGGGCACGTCACCGTGCTCTGGGTACTGGGCTCCGCGCCGCTCCGCTCCCCTGCTTTGAGCACTTCCCTGGCCCCCGTCCCCTGCCCCTCCTTTTCTGAGCTCCCTGCCCCTCCCCCTTCCCCTACCCATTGTTCATTTCTAATTCTTCGAAAGTTATTTGGTTTTGGGGGGCCAAGATCCTGTCATTTCTAATTGTTTCTATCCTGGGCCTCTTCCTGGGCACTAGGGGGCCAGGAACGATTAGAAACGAGCACGATTAGAAATGAACGACGTGTACCTCCCGCCCATTCCCTCCTTTTTCCTCGCCCATATTCCCCTCCTCTTCTTCGCTTAGGCAGCGCACGAGAAGAAGCATGGAGCGGAGCGGACATCGCGAGAGCGAACGGGAGAGCCAGGAGCATGCAGTCAAGGTTAGGTGTCAAGGATGAGACTTTGAAGCAGGGCACCCATGCATCCGTCAATTCTGGGTATCCTGTGCATGGTTGCTGCTTCAGTCGAAGAATACCCTGTCGGGTGGGGCCAAGTGAGCGCTCTGGAACGGCCGTGGCGTCCGATGCATCCTTCAGATCCGCCAGATCTCAGAGATTCCCGATGTGTCCTTGTCTCATTTGTTCTCGGTCCTGGCTTCGTCTTACCCTACTGTCTCTGCGCGCTCTAGGCGATGTGCATCCTCATGCACACTCGGCCCTGACCCACGGTGTCCCCACGCCTGCCGGCAAGGCCTTGGCGCCCCCCCCAAGCCGTTGCAGCCAAAGCCCACAGGAGACCCCCGAGGCTGCCCGAGGCTCCAACACGGCTTGGGAGTTCCCGCTGCGACTCCCGAGCTCCGAGACAGGGGTTCACACACAGCTACCGCCTGGGGGATCGACCTTCGGCAACCTCGGCGAGCGGTGGATGTTGATGTATTCGGACCCTCGGAGGGCCGAGTGTATCCAGATCCACCGCCTGCCGACATCCCGGAAGGTAGCCCTCCGGGTGGTGGTCATGTTTGAATTCCCGCCGCGCAGTGGGCCTGGGCGCTGGGAGTTGGATATTTCCAGGGTCTGGGGACTTCTCGGGCCAGGGGCACTTCTGTGGACAAGGTAAGAGGAGAGGGAAACGGGAAGCTTCGACATCTCATTCCAGCAAGGTCATTGCTGGAGCCCCCCGACGCCGTCTTCGCGCCAGATCTCGCGAGCAGGGTCGGTACAGGTGGGGATCCCAGAGTCCGAGCTTGGAGCGAAAGCGCCCGCTGCCCCACCCCGCGCCCGAATCGGCGGCGAGCCCCGGCCGGAAGGCAGAGGGGGCCGGCCTTCTCAGAAAGCGGCGGGGCTTCCAAACAAAGAAAAAGCGGCCGGGCCTCTCCGAAGCCACGGGCGGCTTCTCGGAAGCCGCGAGGGCTTCTGAGAAGCCCTGCCGCGCTCTCAGGAAGCGGGCCCCCTCTGCCTTCCCTCCCAGGCGCGCGCCGCCAGAAACCAGCGTCGCCCAAAATGCCGCATGGCGGAGCGACCATGGGAAGAGCCCCGCGTCCGCGCGTGCACGGCCGTGCACGCACGTCTGCGCGGCTGTGCGCGCTCCTTCTTCCTCCTTCCCTCCCTCCTTCTCCGCCCCTCCTTCCTCCCATCCCCCATTCCTGCCTCTTCCCTCCGCATGCCCATGTCGGCACACCCCTCACATGTTGCATGGCCCTATTGGGCGCTCCACCGAAGGCCCCAGCAGCAGGGTCCGCATGGCGACCCCGCACTCATGTCGGCACACCCCTCACACGGTGCGTGGCCCTATAATGTCATCATCCTTCCTTCGTGACACCTGCATTGCGGCAGTCGCACCCGCATATAGCTGGGTCCTTCGCCCAGGAAGTGTTCGAAGAAACGGTGGGTGCGAGGCGCGGTCGTCGCCGTGTTCCCTGGGGTTCCTGAGTCTTGTTGCCTTACTGTGCAAGGGCATTCCCTGGGTTCCTCGGCTTCGTTTCTTTACAATGCATCGCCTGTAAGGACACCAAGCCGAGGAACCCAGGGAACGTCTTTGCGGCACTCGCACTCGAATATTGTTGGGTCCCTCGCCCTGATCATGTGTTTGTTCTGCTCGGCATGTTCTGTCTTGGTGGCGGCCCTGTCTCATCAGTTGGCAAGCTGGCGGTTTTCATGATCGGGGTATTGATCATGATGGACCAAAGCGAGGGAGGGCTCCCCAGGGGGTGGTGTAGGACGCCTTGCAAAGAGAGCCCCTCCCCTCTCCCTCCGCCTCCTTCGCCTCCTCCTCCTCTTCCTCGTCGTCCTCCTCCGATTGCGACGACAATGGCGATGGCTTCGACGACGACGCCCCTCTCCGACGCCACCGACGACGGCAAGTCCTTCCCGCCAGGTTCGCGGGCATGGAGGGCAGCATCCTCGGCGTCTGGTCCGCGCACGGCGAGGGGAAGTTCGAGTTCCCGGACCCCGCGCTCCTGGAGCGTGCGGAGAGGGACACCTGGGGAACAAGCACATATCGGGTTGACCCAAAAGGGGGTTCCAGCGACAAGGGGGTGGTGCAATAGATTTGGTGCAATAGATCTGTGGGGTTGCAATACCTTTGGGGCGTGCAATATTTTTCGGGGCGCAAAGGTATTGCTGCATTTTCGCGTGCAACACTTCACTTGCACTACAATGCAATACAATTCTCCGGCGCATTACTTTGCAATACACTTGCCCCAAATCTATTGCACCACCCCCTTTCAGCTGGACCCCCTTTTGGGTCACCCGAAATATACCGACACCGATACACCAAAGAGCTGTTGCGTAGCGTGCCGCGCCGCCGGTCCTGGCCCACAGTACTCTGGCGCGACACGCCGTTCGAACGTTCTCGAATCTCCAGAGTGATACGCTCCCCGCTTCGAATGCGACCTCGTGTGTGGACACGCTGTCAGCTCTGGAGGTGTCGCAGGGCGCGGCCGCCACACGCCGAGCAGCAGTTGTTGACCGTGGCTCTCCCTCGACGACGACGAGGGTGACGACGAAGGGTCGAGAGAGGATCCGGGGTCGAGATTTTTGTTGGCATGGTTGTTTGCTCGTTAGGCCTCCTGTGGCGTCCATGAGAACGCTTCGCGTAACCCCACCAGTCCATCCAGAAACGATGCCCAGAGGAAGTGCCTCGATCAGGGAAGTGGGCAGCACACAGAGGAAGGGTCCCCCAGTGGAGGCCTCTTGGAGCGTCTTGGGGGCCTCTTGGCGGTCCCGGACGCATCATAGAGCGTCTTGGGTGCATCGGAAAGCTTCTTGGGGCCTCTTGGGGGTCTCCTGGGGGCCTCTTGGTGGCCTCTGGGGCCCCAACAGCCTCCTGGGGCCTCCTGGGCGCCTCTTGGGGCCTTCTTGAAGCGCTCTTGGGAGCCTTGGGAGCGCTCTTGGAGCCCTCTTGGGCCATCTTGGAGTCATCTTGAAGCCTCGGATGGCCATCAGAAGCGAAAAGGCGAGAAAGCCCAACACAGTTTTTTTCCCTTGGTTTTGGAAGGAGTTTGGCCTCTTCGGGGCCTCCTGGGGGAGCTCTTTGGCCACTTGGAGCCGTCTTGGGATATCTTGAGCCATCTTGGAGGTCTTCTTGGGCTCTCCCAGGCGCTCTTGGAGTCATCTGAAGCAGTGCCCCCCTCCCCGGGAGGCCCAAATGTGGCCAAACCCTTGGTTAAATCAATGATTTTGGCATTCTCGCCGAGGCCTCTTGGAGCATCTTGGGTGCCTCTGGGGGTCTCTTGGGAACCTCTTGGGGGCATCCTGGGGGCCTCTCAGGGCTTCCTGGCCACCGCTTGGGGCCCTCTTGGGGCACCCTTGGGAGCCTTGGGGGCCATCTTTGGGCCATCTTGGGTGAGATCGATCACAGGAGGGGGGGTCCCCAATTAGGGCCCCCCCCTCAGGAGGCCAACGTGGGGCCACCACCATAGTACAACTGATGATTTGGGCTTCCTCGCCGAGGCCGTTTTGGACGCTCCAACGCGTCGCGAACCCCCCCGTCCAGGTCCAGGGGAGGGGGTAGGGAGAGGGGTCAAGTTCCCCTCTCCCCGCCCGCAAGCCGTCTCGCTCACTCCCACCCGCCCTCCCAACACATACGTAGCACCCGAGTCTGGCCCGAGCCTCAGCATATTCAGCAGTCGTCTTGGGATGGGCAGCTACTGGGGGCCAATCCGTCGCCGCCGCCGCCGCCTCCGCCGACGCCGCCGCCGCCGCCCGCCGCCGCCGCCGCCACCGCCGCCGCCGCCTGTCGCCCCGCCGCCGTCGCCACCGCCGCCGCCACCGCCACCGCCCCCCGCTGCCAAGCCGCCGCCGCAACCGCAGCCGCTGCCCGCCGCCGCCGCCGCCGCCGCCCGCCGCCGCCCCCGCCCCCGCCCCCGCCCCCGCCGCCGCCGCCGCCGCCGCCGCCGCAGCCGCCGCCACCGCCGCCACCGCCGCCGCAGCCGCCGCCGCCGCCAAGTGTACTCTGTATTGTGTTTTGACAGGGATGGTGGGGGGGGCGCATCGGGTTGGCCGCGCATGTTCCGAATTTGGAGGCCGAGTGTGTGTGTTTGTATTGTTTTTTACAAGGGATGGTGTGGGGGGGTCGGCATGGACCCTGGTTGGCCCCCAGTCGCCTGGGGAAGGGGGTGTTTATTAATAGAGAGCAGTGATCAAGACGCCCTCACCGCCCGCAGGCCGTCTCGCTCACTCTCACCCGCCCTCCCAACACATAGCACCCGAGCCTGACCCGAGCCGCAGCATATGCAGCAGTCGTCTTTGGATGGGCAGCTACTGGGGGCGAATCCGCCGCCGCCGCCGCCACCGCGCCGCCCGCCGCCGCCGCCGCCGCCGCCCGCCGCCAACGCCGCCGCCCCCGCTGCCAAATCGCCGCCGCCGCAGCCGCTGCCGCAGCAGTCGCTGCCGCCACCGCTGCCGCCGCCGCCGCCGCCCCCGCCTTCGCCGCCGCCGCCCCCGCCGCCGCCCCCGCCGCAGCCCCCGCCGCAGCCGCCGCAGCCGTTGATCCCGCCGCAGCCGCCGCCGCCGCCAAGTGTACCATGTATTGTTGCATTGTTGTGTTGACAGGGAATCTGGGGGAAGGCCGCATCGGGTTCGCTGCGCATGCTCCGAATTTGGAGACAAAGTGTGTTTTGTATTGTTTTGTGCAAGGGATGGTGGGGGCAGAGTATGTTTTGTTTAAGTAGTTGTTTACAAGGGATGGTGTGGGGGTGCCCTCATGGACTCGGGGTGGCTCCCAGTCGCCTGGGGGAGGGGGTGTATATCAGCAGGGAACAGTGACAAACCCCTCCCCGGAAGGGAAGTAGGAGGGGTAACAGAGGAAAGACTTCAGACCACCTACGCTACAAAAGGCTGGTGGGGTTTACATCCGTGTGGCAAAAGGCGCTGAACAGCTGTAACCACGATGGGGAGGCCACGATGGGCCACCACTTTCGCGGGCCTGGGCTCCCTCACTGGGCGTTAGACGCATCGTGTATAACCTCTTCACACAAACCGTTTGGGGAAACTGAGCCCGTCGCGACCCAAGTGGAGACAAAACTTATTAGGTCAGCACTAGTCAGTAAGGGCGCAAGCAAGTGCGGACGTACATGAGTGAACAAGCACGTGTTACAGGACGTAAGCAGGTAAGGACCAAGGAACCAACACCACGGGACCAACATCAAGGAGCCAAGGAACCAACACGAAGGAACCAATCAATCAACACCAAGGAACAGGGAACCAACCAAGGAACCAACCAACCAAGACCAATGAGCCAATCAACCAAGACCAAGGAAGCCAGGCAATGCCTTGGAAGGTTTCGTAAGGAAACCAGGTCGAGGAACCTGGGGAACGCCCTTGCACAGTAAGGTAACAAGACTTAGGTACCCTGGGGAGCACGGCGACGACCGCGCCTCGCACCCACCGTTTCCTCGAACACTTCCTGGGCGAAGGACCCATTCATATGCGGGTGCGACTGTCGCAAGGCAGGTGTCACGAAGGAAGGATGATGACATTATAGGGCCACGCACCGTGTGAGGGATGTGCCGACATGAGTGCGGGGCCGCCATGCAGACCCTGCTGCTGGGGCCTTCGGTGGAGCGCCCCATAGGGCCACGCAACATGTGAGGGGTGTGCCGACATCAGTGCGGGGACGCCATGCGGACCCTGCCGCTGGGGCCTCCGGTGGAGTTCCTTATGGGGCCACGGAACGTGCGAGGGATGTACCAAAATTGTTGCGGGCCGCCATGCAGACCTCGCTGCTCGGGCCTCTGGTGGCGCTCCTCATGGGGCCAACGCAACGTGTGAGGGGTTGTGCCAAAATCGGTGTGGGGCCGCCATGCGGACCCTGCCGCTGGGGCCTTTGGTGGAGCGCCTTGTGGGGCCAACTGAACGTGCGAGGGGTTGTGCCGAAATGGGTGCGGGTTGGCCGTGCGGACCCTGTCACTGGGGCCTTCGGCTCCCTTCGGCTCCCTTCGGGGCCACAGAACGTGCGAGGCGTGCGCCAAATTGTGTGCGGGGCCGCCATGCGGAGCCTGCCGCTGGGGCCCTCGCTGGAGCTCTCTGTGAGGACGCGAGACGGTGGTACCGCCAAACGGATCCTGCCGCTGGGGCCGTCCCAAGGAACGTGCGAGGGGTGTGCCGAGACCGGCGCGTGGCCGCCATGCGGATCCTGCCGCTGGGGCCTTCGGTGGAGCTCCCTCTGGGGCCACGAGCCAGTTGAGGGGTGTGCCGAAATGGGCGCGGGGCCGCCATGCAGACCGCTGGGGCCCTCGGTGGAGCTCCCTGTGGGGCCACGAAACGTGCAAGGGGTGTGCCGAAGTGGGCATGCGGAGGGCGTAGGCAGAGATGGGCGGAGGTGAGGAGGAGGACAAGGAGGAGGAGGAGGACGAATGAGGTGAGGTGAGGTGAGGTGAGGTGAGGTGAGGTGAGACGCGGGGCGCTGCCTCTTCAAAATGAGGCCCCAACAACACTGGATGGTTGGGAGCAAGTACAAGCCCTTAAGGCAAAGCCTGACTGGGTGGAATTGTCCGGGCGAAGGACCCAACCATGTGCGGGTGCGAGTGCCGCAAGGCAGATATGCCGAAGGACGGACAGGTCTCTGTGAGGGTTGTGCCGAAATGGGCGCGGGTCCGCCATTCGGACCTTGCCGCTGGGGCCTTCGGTGGAGATCCTTTGTGGGCCATGAAACGTTTGAAGGGCGTACCGAAATGTGACCTTGCTGCTGGGGCCTTCGGTGGAGCTCCCTGAGGGGGCCACGAAACTTGCGAGGGGCGTGTAAGAATGGGTATGAGGAGGGGAGGGGTAGGGATGGGAGGAGGTGGTGGAGGAAGAGGAGGAGGAGGAGCAGGAGGAGGAGGAGGAGGCGAAGTGTGGTGATGTGAGGCGAGACGTGGGGCGCTGCTCTTTCAAAACGAAGACCCAACCACAGGATGGTGGGAAAAGCAGGAGGAAGAGGAGGCGGACGAGGCGGAAGCTGACGAGGTGGTTCGAGGAGGGAGGTCCTTCAGTAGGCCTCCCAAGTCGGGTTCGAACAGCTGGGGTCGGAGGATCGCGCCGCATCGCCGATGCGTCTGCGATGCGGCTCGATGTGCAGCCCGATTCCCTCAGCGCCGACGTCGCCGTTGCACCGCCGACATCGCCGATGAATCGGCGATGCGGCGCGATCCTCCGACCCCACCTACTCGGACCACACGTGGGACAAGACAAGGTTCGAGCTCGCGGCGGAGGCCGCGCGCACCCCATCAGTGGAGACGGCAGTTGAGAACGATGCCGTAGCACACGCCCCTCAAAAAAAGACGTCGCTGACCCTCCACCGCGAAACCATGAAGTCGACGAAGTCATCGTCGTAAGTGGTACTCGAAGGGTCGACTACATTCGCAGCTCTCGGCCTCTGGCGCAGCACATCTCGGGCCCGTGCGCCGCGGGCACCGGTGGGTCGGCGGCCCTCCCACTCAGAAGCTGGCCCCCTGCGGGAGGCACGGCGCCGCGACGCCGTGGCACAGCGGTGCCCCCCGGGTGGGCCGGCGGTTGCGGTCAGGAGCGCTCTCTCGGCGTGTCGTGCCGCCGGTTCTCATGGCCAGGCAGCAGCGAACCGTCCGGGCTTGCCGGTGGGCCCACCAAAGAATGCTGGGTTGGCCTGCTGTGGTTTGCACGACGTGTTCTTAGAACAGTTCCGGCTGAGGCCGTCGTTGTGCAGCACATCTGCTTTCTGTCCTGGGAACTGTTTTGTCGTTCGAGCAGTCTTCCGTCCTACGATCACGTCGCATTCGCTGGTAGGAATGCCCAGACGGTCAGTCCCTGCCCAACATGGAGACCCAGGCGTTGCATTTCTTGCTCACACTCGGCGGGTGCGCCCGGCTTCGGACCCCTGGACCATCACGAATGGATCGGTTCGAGAAACGCAACAGAAAGACAAGTCATTGGGTTTCTGTCGTGATTTGTTGCTATGCTGCCAGTTTTCGCAACGTCGGATCTCAGGGCTGGCCCACCTCGCGAAGCCCAGACACGCTGAACACGTCTCCACTCCAAGATGTCGAGCTTCTCCAAGTTGCCCGCCCCCGCGGAGCGGAGCGACAAGCTGTCCGCTTGCATGGCATGGCTTGGGCTTTCGTTGCAATTTCTGGTGTCTGCCAGATCCAAGGAATCTGGGTAAACTTCCGAACGTCTCTGCTTCTGCAAGCTCCCGTTCCTCGGCTGAAGCCGTGCAGTAAGGGGCCACCCGTGCCCGGGGCCGCGATTGCAAGGGACCTGTTGAGGCCAGCCGAACCCGTCGATATCGCCGTCAGCCTCCAGGTTGTAGAAGAGCACCGCTGGGGCGCTGGTCGGGTGCACGCTCGCGCCCCAGCCGTCGCACGCGAGCCACGCGCCATAGGGCTTCGGCTGGCGAGGCTTTGAGCTGCGCACAGGCAGACCCGCCAGGTAGGCCCAGCTGGCCTCAACAGGTCCCCAGGGTGTTGCGAGCATCCAGCCTCGGATTTTTCGGTTGTCCCCCAGGAGGGGCACGTCCCGCTCCGCTACGTGGACGACCAGGGCAGGGCAACCAAGGCCACGCCAGACTTCAGACACTGTCTCGGGACTCATCGTGCCTTTTCCTCTCCCCTCCCCCTCCTCCTCCTCAACGCCCCCCCCCGTCCTTCTACCCCACCCTCCCCTCCATTCCTTCGCCCCCACTCCTCCCTTCTCTCTCCTCCTTCTCTCCTCGTTCGTCCTCCCTCTCTCCCCCTCGCTCTTTTCCGCACTACCTCCTCACGCATCCCCCTTCCTCCCCCCCTTGCCAATCTTCCCTCCCTCCTCCCTGACCAATCCCCCCTTCATCTTCTCACCCGCCCCTTACCCCCCGTCTTCCCCTCCATGCATCATCCATCCCCGTCTTCCCGCCTCCCGCCTCCCTCCTCGTCTCCCTTCTTCAGCCTCCCAGCTCGAGGACGCAGTTCGCGAGGCTCGATGTGACGAGACCTCATGGCGTTGTCTATCTCCTTCCTGGTATCCCCATTCCCCCCTGCTCCATTCGTCCTCGACCCCGCCCGCCGATCCCCGTTTCATCCCCGTGCGTGGATGAGCAAGAGGGGGGCGAGGACCCCCTGACATCGTCGCGTCGTGGACAGATCACGACGGAAGGTCTTTGGCAGTATTCGCTCACAGGTGCCATTACCGGGCCCTGGCGGCCACCAAAAGACGGCCGAGGATGAACAGTTGGTCCAGACGATTCGTGAAGGGGTGTGCAGACTTCTGGGGAGCCATGCTGTGGAACAAGCGACGTCGGATTCCTGGAGGGGAGTGGAGGAGAGGGTGGGGGAGAATGTTCCAAGGCTTCAGAGAGCAAGCGCTCCTGTGCGGGTGGAAATAGAGCCCACGAAAGCCTCTGGAAGGGGGCCCTCGCGAGAACACCCGTGGGTTCTTACGGGGCGTCCCCCCGCAAGAATCCACGAGGTGGCATGTAATTCAGAGGAGAGGGATGGAGGGAGATGAGGACACCCACTCCCGCTCAAGCTTCGAGGCTGAAGAGGGGGAGGAAGAGAGGGAAGACCAGCCAGGGGGAGGAGGAGGAGGGAGGAGGAGGGGGAGGAGGAGGAGGAGCCGGAGGAGCCGGAGCTGCCGGAGGAGCTAGAGGAGCAGGAGGAGGGGGAGAGGGACGATGAGAAGGAGGATGGCCAGTCGAGACAATGGCGGCCCTCGCCAGGGTTCCCTTTGTGAGGCCTTCTGGAGGCTACTCGTCGCCACGGCTGGATCCGCTTCGAAGAATGGGTCAGGATGGACCCTGGGAGGGGCACAGGCCTGCACACCGATTTTGAGCGGAAGTCGGCCTGGCGATCCCCATTTATTTTGCTTCCAAAACCGAACCGTTCACTTCCACCTACCCCATCCGTGATTGCATGCAGTTCTTCTCTTCAGCGATACCTATGCCGGCGAACACTCGAGAGCCAGGCACTCCGGTACATGGAGCATTAGGCGGGAAGTCATCTGGCAAGTCATTTGGTGCAGCGCCGCTCGAAGTGACCCTCGCGACTCCTACTCCCACCGACAAGCGGCCACGCCTCAGGAGCCCTTTGCACGAGGTGGACGATGATGACGACGATCTGCGCGAGGACGGCGAGGAGGTCATCCAGATCGGGATCTCTTTCCGACAGTTGGACTTTCGATCATTGAAGGCTTCAGAGTGGGACAATTCAAAATATATTTCGGGAGCAGTTACAACCCATGCAGAACGACACCCGAGCCATCAAGCTACATGGGGTATCCCAAGCAGACTTGAAGAACACGGTGGAACTTATCAAACACAAGGTGGCTGTGCGAAACGCTCGTCTGCAAGCACTTGAACAACAACATTCGGGACTGCCGTCGGCACGATCAGAGCAGAGTAGCAATACAGACATCGTGACGAAAGTGTTGGAGCTGGAGCACAAACTTTCCGAATTTATGCTCCGAGACCAGGAGACGCATGCAGTCATCGGTGGTTTGTGGAACTTCGATAGGGTCGATGCAGCCATCACATTCTTCAAGGAACTTCTTAAACGATTGAAGACTCCAGAATACATCGACATAGCCACTCCATGACCTTTGGCAATGTTTCGTCCAGGATTAACTTGTCAGGGTGTCCGGCAGGGCGCAAATCAAGCATCGAGGGAATATGGAATGGGATCGCCCCGACATGTGTTGAGAAACGTGTGCCCGAATCGTTCTTTTTCGGTGTTTGGAAGGTCTTCCTCGGCCTGGAACTATACCAGAACAAAATACAAAATCGCGTCGACACGAACAGTCGCATTTTCACAATAGTTGGAGAGCCAGTGGTGCAGGCTACGGTGTCCAAAAACTAGCTTCAGCTCTCCTGGCAAGTCGCGTGGGGCATTTGGGACGACCGCGAGAACAGCCGGGAAGTTCATCACTTAGCTTCATGGTCCAACGAAACGCAGAGAGATGGGGCGGGAAAGACAACGGCAAGGGTAAGAAGGAGGGAAAAAGGAATATCACTAGGAAGTACGTCGTGTTGGCATTGCATGTACATTGGAACCACGAGTTGGTAAGTGGCTTGTGTTTCCATGTGTGCCAGTTTTGTGTGGCAGAATCGCTTCGTGAAATGCCGAAGGCATCAACTTGGACCTGCCGTGCAAACTGCGCGAACTCATCAAGCACATGTGGGTCCTTGACATCGCCTTGCTGTTTCCACGAGACGCACTGCCGTGGGTCACCAGTTTTTGAATTCGAGGGGTTCTCATGTACCTTTTCTGGACACAAGAATGCAACCAGACAGTACGCAGGTGTTGGATTCATTGTAGCGCCGTGGGCTAAACATGCGATCGAAGGAGATTCCCCAATCAGTGCTTGCGCTGAAGGGGTCCTCGCGGAAGTTGAAGGATTTGGCGAAAGTTTCCCGCCGATTTTGGTCGCGCGCTGGGTTTTCGGGTTCCCGGTTCCGGGTTCCAGGGTTCCCGGTTCCGGCTTCCGGGCCGGTTTCTGAGGGCTGCGAGGTTCCCGGGTTCCCGGGTTCATGGTCGATCTTCTTATCGATCGGTCTCACCATCGATTTTATTTCCCCAGTAATGGTCTCACCATCGATTTCACTATCGATTTTCTATCTATCTCAGAAGCGGTCTTGAGAGATCGCATGAGCGATCTCACGATCGATCTAACCGATCTCGTTGAATCGATTTCACTCTCGGATGCACGATCGACTTCGCAATCGTCCTCGCTATCGATTCGGCTACACATCTCCTTATCGATATCACAATCGACAACAAGATCCATGATATAAGTTTGCAAATCATCAACTGATTTGTTTTTGTTTTTCATGTGTTAGATCAAAAAACCAAATCGCATGGCAAGGTTACGGATGCGAGTGCCAGGGGGTTTTCAGACGTTGGTCACAACTTAAACTTGGACTAACAATTGCGATTTTGATGTGTGTCATGACCACTATGCTGATGTTGCTGCATTTGCGTCCGCGTGCCAATCCCACGGGCCGACGTTGATTCTAGGTGATCTCAACGTACGTTTATTTGACAGGGACGTTGGAGAAGAAACCGCTTTCGGAGAACATGTTTGTATCGAAATCCGGTGTCGGCTTGGACTCCTAATTCGAATATGGAGGTCCTTATATAATGATGTCATATTTGAAGCATGCGTAGCGAACTCAATCTTCGACGCAGTCGATGAGAACACTGTCGCGCATCACGACATTGGAATACAACCTGGCGGAGGTACTGTCCCAGGACAGTCAAAAAAAGGCTGGATCACGTGGTGGTGCCTCAAGGGTGGTCGTCTGCAATCAGGGCGGCATGGAGCGGTCGTGGACGGCACTTGCAATCGCACCACTTCGTGCGAATTGTTGATTCGGATATGTGATTTCGAACTCAAGTCGGGTGCGCCGCGAGCCCGAGTTCGACGTCAGAAGGTTGACCGATCTTGACGCCAGCAATATGAGCGCGCAGTAATGTGTGGACACGTGGAAGAAATAGCCACGCGAGGCGACATGGAGCGAGACAGCCTCGGCATTATCACTCAGTATGCTACGGTCCGTTGCCGAATCTCTTCCACGCTGGAAGGCAAGGATTAAACGTGCATGCGAATATCAATGCCCTTTCGACCTCGTCGAGGAGCGGGACACATTGGGACAAGGTAGCTCCGAGCCCAAGCACATCGGCAAAGCGATCAAGCGGTCAGCGAAGGAGGACAAACGCTGCTGGCTTAGAGAGCGTCCAAGCAGACGGACGGACAGCAGGGAGAAATTACGCAAACATGCATCTTACAAGTGTGGGCGCCTGCGGGATACACAAGGGCATTTGGTTGACTCTTCAGACCAAGCTGGCGACGGCACTTTTTGCGGCCACATCAAGAGGATCATCTGTTACCGCAGCCAGCAAACAGTACATCATAACTGCCTGTCGACGTGGACCGGACCCGACCCGAAGAAATGATGCAGACAATCAGGCATCTTCGGCGAGTTGCAGGGACCGACGACGTGCCGCCAGAACTCTGGAAATCACTCTGGGACACCGACGGCGCGTTGGAGATCTTGACATCCTCGTGCAACAAGTGCTGGGGCAAGAAGGACATCCCGGGAAAGTGGCGGGAAACATCCGTAGCGACAATGTTCAAGAAGGGTGACACTTTCTTGCCTTCCAGGAAACTGCGAAGCTTCGGCCTACAGCCTGGTGGCCCCACAAGGGGCCGACGGATTAATCATCAAACTGTTATAACGATTCAAATCCGGAGGAGTTGAAGAGAGGCTACGTTAATTTGAATATGGTTTCCGGCCACACCGTGGGACCAGCGAAGCCCTGTTCTTGGCGAGGAGGTTGATTGACGCAGCGCTGGAAGGCAACATTTGAGCAAAGCGTTTGCCCGGATCAACCCAACAGGTCTTGCACAAGCAGCGCAACAATGTGGAGTGCCAACCAGGATGGTTAATATGGTCCGGGGCATCTACACATCACGTACTTTTATCGTGCAAAACGTGGGTACTACATCATCCAAGCGTACGCGATCATCTGGAATTTCGCAAGGATGTGTACTTTCGCCGCACTTATTTATCATTGGTGGGTGCACGTTTGAATTTGGAGCGGCCCGGCAGGCCATCAAAGCCGTACGTGGTGATTGGATATGTTCTTTACGCGGACTTTACGATGCCCGTGGCCACGGACCCTAACACCCTGCAGGCGCATCTGGATATGGTGGTAGATAGAGGGAAGAAGTACGGCTTGGACCTCGGCTCTGACAAAACAGTGCTGCTCAGGATTCGGCCCGATGGACATGTATTCTGTACTCGGGCTGGGGGCCGGATGGCAACGCAATGGCGGTCAAAGAGCATGCTGTTGATTTGGGTGGCCCCATTGGCATAGACGGGAAGACGTGAGCACAGCTTACAAGGTGCTTGGGGGAAGCGAAATGCGTCTTCCATAAGTTATGCGCTGTCTGACAGCACGCCAACTTGACGAGAGTAAGGGAGATAATTGATATTGGCGTCATGTGTAATCTCCAAATTGCTATATGGGATATGGGTTCGGATCGTGCGCGCTCGTCAAAGCCGCCAGGGATCGCATATGGCTTCCAAACCAGGTGATTACGCAGAGTGTTCAACATTTTCCCTGTCTGGTTGTCCCGCGTGCGCAAGGCTGACGTGCGTGAGCGTGCCCGCGCGCTGCCTTTGACATCGATTATACAGGAAAGCTTGCCCAGAGCAGAGCCGAAAGCTTACCAAGAACGATGGTGCTTGAAGGTGGTCAACAATTTTTTTTCTTTGCAACAGGAAACTCCCGCAAACGAGAGGATGACCCCGGCTACACTGGACGACGGACATGCACGCTGAGGCCCTCGCAGTGGCCGGCAACGGCCCCGACATTCTTCAGAGTCCGCTGCTGAATTCTTCGGTATCTGATTGCTTGTGCCCCCTCTTCCCCTGCGTTCCCTCTCCTCGCTCCCCCTCCTTCCCTCCCCGCGCTCTCACCCGCCCATGCCGTTTGCAGGCAACCAAAGGGCGGGCCGCCAGCACAACGAACGCTAGTGGCTGCACACCTCTTCCGCCCTGCATGGCGCACGCAGTGTTGATATCCCTCCCTTCGATTTTTATGCATGTGCGAGCTCGTAGCTATTCCGTGCCAGTGCGCCGTCTAGGTGCGGTTCCGTGTGCGTGGGTCTGGCGGAGGAGCCGCAGTTGATCTGAGCTGACCCTCTTCCGAAGGAAGGAAACGGATGGGGGAGTGAGGGGACCCAGAAAGGTGGTCACAAGCAGCGAACATATCCATATCCACGCCGTCGCTGTTTGCATTCTGGGGCGCGATCCCGTGGATCTGCAGTCGCATGGATAGGTTCCGCGCGGGGCATCCGCCCCAGGGCTTGCCCCGCAATGCCGTGGATATGCTTTCCGCCCACGACAGGGAAAAGGGAACTGGAAAGGTGTGGGCGAGGAAAGGAGACAGCTTTTCACCCCCTGGCCATGACGGGTGTGGCCAGGGGGAGGTGGGCTGGGACGGGGGCGGGGGAGGGGGTGGCACGATTCGCGCCAGTGCCGTTGTGAAATGCTCATGAATAGCTCATGTCCACACGGCGCCGACGCGAATCGTGACGTGACCAGACGGGAGGACGGGTGGGGGGCGGGGTTGACCAAACGGGCTGACGGGAGCTGCAGGGCCCTCTGCCACGGCGGCCCAGAGCCGCGTGTCCCTCAGGCCTACCCTTACTGCCCCAACGGCTCGCCCGGGGGCATCGCCGGAATGACTACGAAGGACACGTGCCCCCCCGCAGGGGAGGTTAGGGGGAGGAGGAGGAGGAAGGGAGAGGAAACCGCATTAGACTTCCTTACGTCGCGAGACAACAGAGAAACACTATGGACGGATTTGGGCTGTGCTTGGCTTCCGGGTGCCCTCACCGGGTCCCGTGACCGTCAACCAAAATATTCAGGATGGAATAAGGAGATTTGGGGGAAGAGGTCGCGTGTTACGGGTGTCCATGTTGCGAGAAGTTCACAATGTAGGAGATTTGGGAAGGAGGAGGCGGATTGGAAGACGAGGGAGGGAGGGAGGACAAGGAGCAACGAGGCAGGACGCAGGAGGAGGAAGGGAGGGAAGCTGAGGGACTTGGGGCGGTATAGTGCGGAGGTGGTACAATTTCGTCCGGACCCTGCAGACCAATAGAGAAGTTAAGCAAGTCTGATTTTCCAGATGATTTCTTTCCCTTCGCGGGGTGTACAATCAGAGCGCGTAGAAAGTCTGGGCGTCGCGGGGCCTTTTCATTAGGGGTATTTTCAAGGCTTCGGGGGGCGCGACTGCAGTCAACACTCTGAAATGAGGACCGCCTTGGATTCAGGAGGGGTTCCGATGTTCGGGTTGCGCTTTGGATCTATGTAGCGGTGTCCAGCCCCGTCGTTTGTTCTTCAGCGTTCCTCATGGTAGCACGATGGCAGTGCACAGAGCCTATTTGTCTAGCGCCCTCGTCTGCCGGGCCGTTCCGCTGGGCTGGCCCATGGGCAGACCAGCGCTGCAGACCGAGCACGGTAGCACGGCAGACCAGCCATGCTATCCAGGGCAGATATGCTCTGGGGCGCGGCGGCGAGCATACGGGATGGAGGGAGAGGAGGAGGAGGAGGAGGAGGAGGAGGAGGAGGAGGAGGAGGAGGAGGAGGAGGAGGAGGAGGAGGAGGAGGAGGGTGGAGGAGGAGGAGGAAGAGGAGGAGGAGGAGGAGGAGGAGGAGGAGGGAGGAGGAGGAGGCGGAAAAGGAGGAGGACCAATGCAAACCTAAGAGTCATCAACGATGTTGGAATAAACCCTCCCTCCAAGCTCCCGTTTCAAAGGCCCCTACAACGAACGGTTCATTTCCACTGAGGGACTGCCTTGTTGGAAGGCAACCGTTTGAAGACCCTGAAGCATGCCCCAAAAAAGTTCTCGGGATGCCAACGCCACGGATCAACCTGACTGCTGCGTCTTGACGATCCTGAATCGCGCCAGAACGCCATTACTGGGACTTCAACACCACGAATCAAGGCAACTGTTGCGCCCTCAAAATCCAGAATCCTTCGAAAACACCATTCCTGGTACGCTGACCATGGGAATCCGTGAATTTTCTCCCAGTTCAAGAATCAAATTTGTGCGGCGCTAAGGCGAGAGCCACACTTTGAAGAGGAACCGCTTTCGATCCGTGAAACCCTTTCAAAGTTTAAAAACGAAAGTGCGCGGCGTTAAGGCGAGAGCCACATTTTGAAAACCAGTCGCCCTCAACCCGTGCAAATCTTGCACATGATTGGAACGAATGTGCGCGGCGCTAAGGCGAGAGCGACATTTGAAGACGACCCTCCCTCCATCCCGCCCTAGAAACTGGCCTCGGGGTGCGACAGGGAGAAGTTAGTTATATGGAAGAGGAACGGTGGTGGAGGAGGAGGAGGAGGCTGAGGAGGAGGAGGAGGAGGAGGAGGACGACGACGAGAGAGGAGGAGGAGGAGGAGGAGGAGGAGGAGGAGGAGGAGGAGGAGGAGGAGGAGGAGGAGGAGGAAGAGGTAAGTTTTTCTTCTGCCCCAGGTTCTGAACCCCTGGGCGCCCGTGGAGGCCCCCAGAGGTTCGAAAAAGGGCAACAGCGCAAGCAAGCAAACAACGCAGTCGAACACCTCCCACCTCCATCCTCGATCCTCTGGGGCCTTCACATACTCGATCCTCACTTTGACGATCCTCGATTCTCTCACCTCCATCCTCTCCACCCTAAAAGCTTTCACCGCCTCCCTTCCGCCTCGATCCCCGAGGGCCCAGAGCGAACCTCCCATGGGCACCAGCCAGGCCTTCCTTATCATGCAGAGTGTAATGTAAGGGGTTACTTCGTGCGTGCGGAGAGAGCGGATGCTGTTTGCGTGCGTGCGTGCGTGCGTGCGTGCGTGCGTGTGTGTGTGTGTGTGTGTGTGCGTGTGTGTGTGTGCGTGTGTGTGTGTGTGTGTGTATGTGTATGTGTGGTGTGTGAAGGTGTGTGCGTGTGCGTATGTGTGTGTGTGTGTGTGTTTGTGGTTGTGTTAGTGTTTGTGTTTGTGCTTGTGTGTGTTTACCCCTGCTTCCATCTGGGTAGGAGGCCCCTGCCCCCGCCGCTGCATCCCCTGCCCTGTGCAGGAGGGATCGCCGGCTTTCTGCAGGATTTTGGCCCGGGTCTGCGCCCGCTACTTCCTCCTCGTGCCCGCCCCGCTCCGCGGCGGTCCGCTCCTGCGCCGCACCGCTTGCCTGGCTCTTGGCCGGGCCTTCGCTTTGAGCCCCACGGGTGCCTGGCAGGCCACCCGCGGCCTCGGCACCCGCTGCCCCTCTCCGCCTGGTTTCCAGGCCAGCCCCCCTGGCGGGTTCGCTCCTCCGGCGCTGCCGGTCGGCGGGCTCCGTCGCTGCTGCTCGCCCGTCCTCTCGTGCCCTCCCGGCCTTCCGCCTTGGGGTGTTCGGGCGGCCGTCCCCACCCCCCAGGTCGCCTTGCAGGCCTTCTGGATCTCGGCACCTTGGCCGGCCCTCGCCTCCCTTGCTCCGCCCTGCTGGGATCACTTCCCCAGTACCCCTGACCCCTCACCTGAGGTGGTCCCCTCCGGCTGCCGCTCTCGGCTGCCTCGAGGTCACTCTGATCTCGACACCTCGGCCGCCCCACTACGCTGCCCACACCTCCAGCAAGTGCTGGACCTGCGTCCCACCCTCTGGGCGCGTGCCCGGCTGCCTACTGGCTGCCTACCCCCAGCTGCTGCCCCACCGCTGCTGCTGGCTCCCTGCCCCGGCGCCCGTCCCGCCGCCGCCTGGCCCTGCTCTGGGCGGGCCCAGCCTCCTCTCCCTCCCGCCCGCGCCGGGCCTCCTTTCTCTCCCTCCCGTGCATTGCGGCTTGATTCGAATTTTGTGTGTGTGTGTGTGTCCCACAAATGCCGCTTCGCCAGAGCAGTCCCTCTGCCTTGCCGCCGACGCCGAAAGTGTGTGTGTGTGTGTGTGTGTGTGTTTGTGTGTATGTCTGTGTGTGGTGTGTGTGTGTATGTCTGTGTGTGAGTGTGAGTGTGAGTGTGTGTGTGTGTTCGTGCGCGCGGGTGTGCGTGTGCGTGCGTGTGCGTGTGCGTGCGTGCGCGTGCGCGTGCGCGTGCGCGTGCGCGTGTGTTTGTGTGTGTGTGCGTGTGTGTGAATGTGTGTGTGTGTGTGTGCGTGTGTGCGTGTGCGTGTGCGTGTGCGTGTGCGTGTGCGTGTGCGTGGCGTGTGCGTGTGCGTGTGCGTGTGTGTGTGCGTGTGTGTGTGGTGTGTGTGTGTGAATGTGTGAATGTGTGTGCGTGTGCGTGTGCGTGTGCGTGTGCGTGTGCGTGCGTGTGCGTGTGCGTGTGTGTGTGTGTGTGTGTGTTGTGTGTGTGTGTGTGGTGTGTGTGTGTGTTTGTGTGTGTGTGTGTGTGTGTGTGGTGTGTGGTGTGTGTGTGTGTGTGTGCGTGTGCGTGTGTGCGTGTGCGTGTGCGTGTGCGTGTGCGTGTGCGTGTGCGTGTGTGTGTGTGTGTGTGTGTGTGTGTGTGTGTGTGTGTGTGTGTTGGGAACGTGGTGGCGCGAGTGACTTGGGAAATGCACCGCCCGCTTCTGCCCCGCTCGCTGCGGACAGGTTCTCCTTGCTTCGATGATGCGTGCCCAGGAGTTGGCGGGGCAGGAGAAAGAGGGGAGAAGATCTCGAAGGATTCCGCCCGCGTGGCAGAAGTAGCAATTAGTGCCTCTGCCGGAGATCCCGACCCCCAGAAGAGGTCCTCGAACATGGTTTGGAGGCCCCAGAATATCCAAATCTGAAAACCGTTTCCCACCTCCCAGACATCTCCTCCCTTCGATGCGTGGCGGCCGGGGGCAAAACTGAGCAAGGCAGGCACCCATAGATCCAATGTCTTCATGAGCTGGGTCCTCGTTTTGACTCCGCTGTCCGCGCGTCTCCACCTCCTCCCCCCCCCTGCTGCGTGCACATCTCGGCACGCCCCTCGCACGTCTCGTGCTCCCACGTGGCGCTCCCCTCGCGGCCCCAGGTGCCACAGTCCGCACGGCGCACCTGCCCTCCGTTTCGGGGCACAGCTCACATGCCTCGTGGCCCCATGGGAGCTCTTCCGTGGGGCCCCGGTGACGCACTTTGCATGGCGTACCCGCTCCCACTGCGGCACGCCGCTCACGCGAGTCGTGAGCTCCACATACGGCCCCAGTGGCACAGCTAGCCTGATGTGTCCGCTTTCAAATCGACACACCCTCACAGGTTCCGTGGCCCCCCAAGAAACTCCATTTACGGCCCAGAGGCACAGCTCGCCTGGCGTATCCGCCCACCCGGGAACACCCATCACATTCTTCCTGGCCCCTCTTAGGTAGTTCCACCTACGACCCCAGTATCATGGCGCACCCGCCCCATAGGGAGCTTCACCGAAGGCCCCAGCGGCAGGGCCCGCATGGCGTCACCGCGCCAATTTCGGTACACCAGCAGCTCAGATCGCCTCTGCGCGCCTGGTCCGCCGCCCCCCATCCGCACCGCCCCACGCCCCATCCTTATCGCGACGCGCTACGTATGAGGAGAGGGCCATATCCTGCGTCATACATAGCTGCATGCGGTTGGATCCTTGGACAGGCTAATGTCCCTGACATACGCCGGTCTGTGAGTTGTTTCCCAACCATCCTATGGGGCTGGGTCCTCGTTTTGAAGAGACAGCACCCCGCGTCCCACCTCCACCTCTCCTTCTCCTCCCCCTCCTCCTCCGCCTCTGTGCCGCTGCCCTGCGCATGTCAACCACTTCGCACACGCCTCACACGTTTCGTGGCCCCATAGGGAGCTCCACTGAAGGCCCCAGTGGCAAAGTTCGCATGCGGTTCCATTTCCATTTTGGCACATCCCTCACACGTTTCGTGGCCCCATAGGGATCTCCACCGAAGGCCCCGGTGGCAAAGTTCGCATGCGATTCCATGTCCATTTTGGCTCACCCCTCACACGTTTCGTGGCCGCACAGGGAGCTCTACCGAAGGCTCAAGTGGCGAAGTTCGCATGCGGTTCCACCACCAATCGAGCGTACCCCTCACACGATTCTTGGCCCCATGGGGGGCTCCACCGAAGGCTCCAGTGCCGAAGTTCGCATGCGGCTCCACCCTCATTTCGGCACACCCCTCACACGGTTCGTGGCCCCATAGGGAGCTCCACCGAAGGCCCCATTGGCGAAGTTTATGCGGTTCCACCCCCATTTTGGCACACGCCTCACACGTTTCGTGGCCCAGTGGGGAGTTCAACCGAAGGCTCCAGCGGCAAAGGTTGCATGCGGTTCCACCCCCATTTTGGCACACCACTCACACGTTTCGTGGCTCCATAGGGAGCTCCACCGAAGGCCCCAGTGGCAAAGTTCGCATGCGATTCCATTTCCAGTTTGGCACACCCCTCACACGTTTCGTGGCCACGTAGGGAGCTCTACCGAAGGCTCATGTGGCGAAGTTCGCATGCGGTTCCACCCCCATTCGGGCGTACCCCTCATACGATTCTTGGCTCCATAGGGACTCCACCGAAGGCCCCAGTGGCAAAGTTCGCATGCGATTCCATTTCCATTTTGGCACATCCCTCACACGTTTCGTGGCCCCATAGGGATCTCCACCGAAGGCCCCGGTGGCAAAGTTCGCATGCGATTCCATGTCCACGTTGGCTCACCCCTCACACGGTTTGTTGCGGGAGCTCCACCGAAGGTAATACTCACAATTGCGGCACCCACTATTGCAGATGGTTGGGCCCTTCGCCAGGCTAATTAATCCTCGGCCCCAGAGGTCCCGACCGCTTCCCAGCGGCCCCAGATGTTCCAGGGGCTTAGTAACAAGCCCCAGAGGACGACATCGAGGTAAAGCATCGGGGTTGAAAGTATCACACCGTCGGAGATCTGGATCCACGGCATTGGATGTCTGGGAGGCCCCCTCCTCGGGAGTGTCGCGCGCGCGAAGGACGGCAGGCACCTGGCCCTCATGCCTCACCCGGAGCGTTCGGTGCTCAAGTGGCAGCTGCCCTGGATGCCGAGCGAGTGGAGCCCCGCCAGGAGGAGGAGTAGGAGGAGGAGGAGGAGGAGGAGGAGGAGGAGGAGGAGGAGGAGGAGGAGGAGGAGAGGAGAGGAGGAGGAGGGAGGGAGGAGGAGGAGGAGGAGGAGGAGGAGGAGGAGGAGGAAGGAGGAGGAGGATGAGGAGGAGGAGGAGCAGGAGGTGAGAGGAGCAGGAGAGGAGAGGAGCAGAGGGGTGAATGGGCGGTGGGGCGGGGGGGGGGGGGGGGGCGGAGGGAGCGGGGGGGGGCAGAGGGGGCGAGCAGGGCGAGCAGCAGCAGCAGCAGCAGCAGCAGCAGCAGCAGCAGCAGCAGCAGTAGCAGCAGGAATGGAAGCGAGAGGGGTACTCCTTCCTTGAGCCCCAGGGTGGGCTCAAATCTTTGTCGATGCTGAGCTGCTGGTGTGGTCAGCTAGGAATGCTCGAGTAAACGTGTGGCTCGCCACACCTCCAGATCGGTTGGGGCTTCCGTCTCCTTGCTCCTGCTGGTGCTTGCCCGTCGTTCTCCCCTTCTCTCCCCTCCCCCGCGGGGCTCAAGCCTTTCTGGGCCAAGCTGGTCCTCCCTGGGGACCATGCAGGGTCCCTCCCACCCCTTCTCCAGAGGCCTTGCCAAGGCGGCGAGGGCCTCTGCGAGCGGCAGAAGACTCGGAGGGCCGGCCAGTGGCCGGCACGTTTCCGGCAAAGGGGGTCATTATCATCTGACCGCCATTGCCACCGGCTCTCCTGTCTTCCTCCCTTGAGCCCTAGGATGGGCTCAAGTCTTTCTCGATGTTGAGCTGCTGGTGTGGTTAGCTACTGGTTTGGTATGTTCAGTGGTGCGATGATAGATGGTGGTATGTTTGGTTTGGCATTGTATGGTATGCTTTGTGCTGTGGTGGTGTGCTATGGTATGCGCTGTTCTGTCACGGTGTGTTATGTTCGGGAGTGGTATGTCATGACATGGTATGTTATGTTCGGATGTGTTATGTTAGGTGGTGTGGTGTCACGCGCTGTTCTGTCAGAGCTTATCGTGTTGTGTTGTACTACGGTTTGCTATTTTATGATACCGCTCTGTCATGTTATGATTTGTCGGCGCGGAACGGGACACTCGGGGATTCTCGGGGGACCTGGGGATCTGGCGGCCGCGGTATGCAGAGGGGCGCGAGGCGAGATTCCCAGGGATACTCGGGAGCTTCGGGATGTGGCGGCCGCGGTATGCAGAGGGGCGTGATGCAGGACTCTCGGGAATATTCAGGAGCCTGGGAATCTGGCGGCCGCGGTATGCAGAGGGGTGCGAGGCGGGATTCCCGGGGATACTCGGGAGCCTGGGGGAGTGGCGGCCGCATTATGCAGAGGGTCGCGAGGCGGGATTCTCGGGGATACTCGGGGGCGTGGGGATGTGGCGGCCGCGGAATGCAGGGTGGACGGGTCCGGGGGCTTGTTCTTGAAATCGAGCGACCCCAACTCGTCGGGTGGGATAAACCCGACGGGAGGCTGGGGCTGCTCTCGGCCCCTGGGGACCGTCGAGCAACGACTCGCGATGAAAGCTTGGCTGCTGGTGCCCAGGGGTCGGGACTTCCGGGAACCTCGCGCTGGCAAACACCAGGCATCGCACGTCCAGTTTTGGGGGCCCGTGGCCACGGACCGCACGGCCAGTCCACGCGGCGGCGAGGGCCGCCAACGGAGGCCGCCCGAGGAGGCCGCCCGAGGGAGGCCGCCCGAGGGCCGCGCGAGGAGGGCCGCCGAGGGCCCGGCAGGCCCATGGCTGCAGCACGGGCCGCGCGGCCGGCGCGGCCTCCTCCTCCTTCTCCTCCTCCTCTTCCCTCTTCCTCCTCCTCCTCCTCCTCCTCCTCCTCCTCCTCCTCCTCCTCCTCCTCCTCCTCCCCTCCTCCCCTCCTCCTCCTCCTCCTCCTCCTCCTCGTCCTCTCCTCCTCCTTCTTCTCCTCCTCCTCCTTCTCCGCCTCCTCGTCCTCCTCTTCCTCCTTCTTCCCCTCTGTCCTCCTTCACCTCCTCCTCATCCTCCTCCTCCTCCTCCTCCTCCTCCTCCTCCTTCTATCTCCTCCCTCCTCCTCCTCCTCCTCCGCGTCCTCCTCCTCCTACTCCTCCTCCGCCTCCCTCCTCCTCCTCCTTCCTCCTCCTCCCCCTCCCCTCCTAGCCTCCTTCTCCTCCTCCTCCTCCTCCTCCTCCTCCTCCTCCTCCTCCTCCTCCTCCTCCTCCTCCCCCTCCTCCCCCTCCCTCTCCTCCATGCAGGAGCCGCGAGGGGCCGCAGGCCGCGCCCTGGCTGCAGCTCTTCGTCAACGCCAGGCGCCGGCGACGGGCAGAGCGCAGAAGGAGCCAGAGGAGTCAGGACACGAAAGGACACCTTCCAAGATCGGGCCGGACGAAAGGCGAAAGGGCGAGATTTTCGGAACTTTCTGGCGTAAGGCCCCCCAATTTGGGACGGTCGAAAAGCGGCTCTCGTGGAATAGCCCTTCCCCAGGAAGAAGAGGTCAAGACCTCTGGAGGGCATCTTTTTGAAACAGCCACGTACGTTGGATGACGGTATAAGCAGTCGGTGGCGGCTCCGCCGGCGGATTCTCGTCGGAAGGCGCCGGAAGTGTATCGGGCCAGACGAAAGGGGGGGACAGGGAAAGGGGGGGGTACGAAATTTGCTGCATGCAGCTGGTTTCGGCCCCACCAAGGGGCCCAGTCCTCGATACATGGCCGCGAGGCGCCGGGAAAATCAGCTACGTGAGCTGATTCTCAAACCTCCCATTTGCTATCCCCCCCAGTTCGCCCGGCCCGAAAGATGCCCCGGATGTCCGAGCTTTCCTATTCCTGCACGCGGGCTTCAGGAGCGAGGTGGTTGTTACACACGGGCTCGAGGATCGCATCATGACGTCGATCTCGTCCTTGAGGAGGATAGGGCCCGAAATCCAGACGGCGTTTTCGCCGCCATCTTCGGCAGTTGGTGCACGCGTTCGGGCTCCTGGGTCGTCCGACCACGGTGTGGAGGATCGGGCCTTGGGAACAAGTGTCGGGTCTTCCAGGGACCGCGCACTGAACAGGCCAAGCGGTATGTCTGGGAAGGTGGCCCCATCATTCCCAAGGAGGCCCAGGCGGCCCCGGAGCAGGAGGAGGAGGAGGAGGAGGAGGAGGAGGAGGAGAGGAGGAGAGAGGAGGAGGAGGAGGAGGAGGAGGAGGAGGAGGAGGAGGAGAGGAGGAGGAGGAGGAGGAGGAGAGAGGGAGGAGGAGAGGAGGGGGGAGGAGAGGAGGAGGAGGAGGAGGAGGAGGAGGGGAGGAGGAGGAGAGGAGGGAGGAGGAGGAGGGAGGAGGAGGAGGAGGAGGAGAGGAGGAGGAGGAGGAGGAGGAGGAGGAGGAGGAGGAGAGGGAGGGAGGAGGAGGAGAGGAGGAGGAGGAGGAGGAGGAGGAGGAGGAGGAGGAGGAGGAGGAGGAGGAGGGAGGAGGAGGAGGAGAGGAGGTAGGAGGAGGAGGAGGAGAGGAGGAGGAGGAGGAAGGAGGAGGAGGAGGAGGTAGGAGGAGGAGGAGGAGGAGGGAGGAGGAGGAGGAGGAGGAGGAGGAGGAGGAGGAGGAGGAGGAGGAGGAGGAGGAGGAGAGGGAGGAGGAGGAGGAGGAGAGGAGGAGGAGGAGGATGAGGAGGAGGAGAGGAGGAGGAGGAGGAGGAGGAGGAGGAGGAGGAGGAGGAGGAGGAGGAGGAGGAGGAGGAGGAGGAGGAGGAGGAGGAGGAGGAGGAGGAGGAGGAGGAGGAGAAGGAGAGGAGAGGAGGAGGAGGAGGAGGAGGAGGAGAGGAGGAGGAGGAGAGGAGGAGGAGGAGGAGAGGAGGAGGAGAGGAGGAGGAGAGGAGGAGGAGGAGGTGAGGAGGAAGGTGGACCCCCCCCCCCCCACCCCCCCCCAGGGGGCCGTATGTGGCGTGAGGAAGCTGGCGGCATCTGGGCCACTTGGGCCAGAGGGACCCCTAGGGCAGCCTCCGATGGGGGGGCGGGGGGGGGGTCGTGTGGCCCTCGACGTGTGCACCACGCCACGCCGCTTTGCGGGACACGTAGCAGAAGGAAAACATCATGCACAGACGCAATGTTTCGCCGATTCCCCAGGAAATATTTGAAAATTTGGGAAGTGGGGGGGAAGACAAATTCCCAGAATATATATATATATATATATATATATATGGGAAAATATTGGAAATATGGTTATTTGTGTCTATTTATTTGTGTGTCCCAGGGCCCCTTCAACGTAGCCAAGGTGTTCGGCGGGGGACATCGGTGTACGAGCGCCAGCGAGGTAGTTCGGTGTCTAGGCGCTCCATCGTCTCACAGTTTTGGGAGCGGGGGCGTCCTTACGCCGAGCTCCTTGGTCGACCAGACGGCATGGTGCATATGTCGAACTCATCCCTGGGCAGACATCTGACATCGCGTTTTTTTCAAAACGTGGTTCTGCAGAGGTCTGGACCCCTTCTTGGCGACCGCCTTCTCATTCCGAGCCGTTGTTTGACGGCCACGTGGTCCAGTCAAGGACCCTCGTGGTTCCCGAAGTGTTGAAAACCTTCCGCCGTTTCATTTTATTTACAACGCGGGGATGTCAGGGCGTCAGGACGCTGGATGCACATGGTGTGTCCAGGCTGAGCGAGAGCAGGATGCATACGGGGAGAGCAAGGATCGAATTTCGAGGCTCGAAATTCGAGGTTCGAGGCTGGGACTCTTGGAGCGCCACAGGCGCCATGGTCGGATTCGATGTCAGCACGCACCCCAGGAGAGGTCCCGGTCCAGGGATTGTAGCGGTATCGCGAGACGAATCGGCTTCTCTGGGTGCCCACGTCACGAACAGAAATGCGGCGACGGAGAAGAAGAAGAAAAATAAGAAGAAGAAGAAGAAAAAGAAGAAGAATGGGTCCCCACCTCGCGATTGAGCTCTTGCGCGCCCCAGCAGGCGGTTCTGCAGCTGAACAGAGGAGCAGACCGAGGCCGCCCACGCGGGTGCCCCCTGCCAAGCAGGGCGCCCACGGCTTTAGGACAAGCAATACAACGCGCTCGTGCCGACCGCTTGGAGAGCGGGGGGCCATGCGTCTTTCGCGCATTCGGGTTCGAGTGCACCTCTCTCGGAGGAGAACATCCGAAACATACACTTCTGGAGGTCCGCGCGGATTTATTTGACCGTTGCTGGGGCCCTCCTCCCTGGCTCGCGGAGCGCGCCAGGGGCGGCGCCGGAGGCGCGCCGCCAGGGTGGTCAAGCGCCGAGCCAAGACGTCCGCGCGGAGCTCCGAAAGTGTATGCTCCTCCAGCTGTTTCGACCACTCGCGGGGAGCCCGATTGAGTAGGCTTGATATCGGGGGCGGCCAAGAAGGGGATGATGACTAGGGGTGGTGGTGGATATCATGGCGGGGGCCATGATCTCTCCTCAGGTTTCCTGGCGCCCCTTCTTATTTTGATACGTCCACGGCCCCTGAGCCGCGCACATGCCGCCAGCCATGATTTGCGCCCTCACCGACGTGCTGGGCGTAGTGGTGCTGCTGGTACAGAACATGCTCGTAACACACGCGGTGCTGCTCTCCCCCCTCTTGGACGCCCCCCTCTTGGCCACCCCCGATGAGATACCACCCACTTTGAAGCCTGCCTGGGCGCCGTGCCCCCAGCCGGCGGCTGGCGGCTCGGGTGCACGCCTGGGGGGCCCTGGCCCAAGGTGGCTCCAGATCGGCTGCGCGTAAGAGCTCCTGAGGAGGAAGAGGTACTGATGTCGCTGCCCCTCCCTCGCCGCCATGGCCAGATGCGCCTTGAAATCCTGGTCGCGTCGCGCCCCTGAAGAGGTTCAGGGAGCAGCGGCATCGGTACCTCGCTGGCCTCCCGAGAGTGGCCCTTCGCTGGAGTCACCCACTGTGCGTGCGCCGGCAGGGGTCCCCCTGGCACTGGCCCGTGCGCTTGGACTTGGGACACCGCGGCCCCCGAAAGATGCGCACCAATGGGTCACTCTTGCCTCTCTGACCTTCAAGGAGGGCTAGAAAATCAGACCAGGACCTCGACATCTGAATTCCTTTCGAGGTTTGGAGCAGTCGAGAGCTCTGGAGAGCTGTTTTTTTAAGCACTCTGGAAGGTCAGGTCCAGGATCGCTCTTGTGGGACCGACCAGGCCTCTCAGACATCTGACGTCGTGAGTGTTCACCACGTGGCTCCGCAGACCTCCAACGGGCTGAACAAAGTCGAGGCTGATATGTTGTTCGCCGCCCCCAGCCTCGGGGGCCCCCGCTGGGTCCTAGGCCCCAGTGCGAGATTGTTCGGAGGCCGAAAGTTGCCAAACACTTCGTGTTGCGAGGCAGTAGGAGCCTCCAGACCACAGGGTCAACGTAGGGGGGGATATGCCCAGGGGAGATGCATCGACCCCCAATCGCACATCGATCGCCGATGGGGGCCCGATGGCCCCCACGCCCAGGAGAGTGCGGATTTGCTATCTTGGGCCTGTCGCCGATCTATCGGCGATGCATCGCCGATTCCAGACCGATGTCTACTCCCGTGAGCCGGCCCTTCCCCCCCCCCGTGGGCGTCCCCCGTCAAGAGCACGCGCAGGAGTGGGCTGGCGAGCTGGCGCCACCCTCGGGGCGGAGCCGCCCTCTCCATCGGCACCCGAGCGCTCTCCCCCGGTGCCTCTAGGATGATGGACCTGTTTTCCACCACCACCACCACCACCATAAGTTGGAGGGTGGGAGGAGGAGGAGGAGGAGGAGGAGGAGGAGGAGGAGGAGGAGGAGGAGGAGGAGGAGGAGCCCCTCCCCCTCCAACTTCTGGTGGTGGTGGTGGAAAACAGCCCCCTCATAGGACTCCTCCTGGGACTCTTGACTCTGGCGCCAGCGCACGAGGCGCGGCGGCCAGAATGGCAGCCCCCTTGGCCGGCTGGCGGCGGCCCGCGCGGCCTCTCCGCCCCGCCGGGGCTGTCCGGCGTCTCTCGCAGGGCACGGCAGGAAGCACGCACAGCAATCAGCAGCCATACCGGGCAGCCAACCAGAAGGGGAACCTACTGACCCTGAGATCCGACGCTCCAAAAAAATTGGAGCTGCAGGATTTTGGCAGTTTTCGGCCTCTGGGGGCCCTCGCTGGGCCTCGGGAGCAAACTGGTCCCGGGGAAGTGGTCGGGACCTCTGGGGTCCACGCACTAAAAAAAGTGGAGCAGCCGGATGTCTGGGCTGATAAGACAGGACGAAGAAGGAGGGACAAGCGTCTGGACAACCATCGGGGCAACCATCGGGGTAGTCTCAGCACAACCATCGGGACAAGCATCGTGATGAGTTCTATCGGCCGATCGGACTTTCGACAGCAGCATCTAGCCATCCAGAAAGGGCCTCGCCTTGAAGGCTCGAAGGGGCTGAGCTGGCATCGCTTCCTGGGAGCAGGGCCGGCGGAAGTAAGATCGAGGCGGCTCCGCCGACGGAGGCCGGCGGAAGGCCGGCGGGCGTACAAGCGATTGCCCCCAAGAGAGCACACGATGTTGGAGTTCAGGGTTTCTGGAACCCGCTACATAATTCTATATGAATGGATGGATCTATACATATATATATACAGGTATAAAGATATATGTAGATATGTCGACAGCACGATCGATCTACTTATCTATACCTATGGACTTCAAAGTATACATAGGTGTATGTCTATGTGTATACATATAGAGATATGTATATATTGTGTGTGCATATATATATATGCCTCGATCGAAACGTATTTGCGTATATCTGTGTATACATATATATATACATATGTCGATGACACCATCTAGTTGTAGGTCGGTCCAATAGTCAATATACACATATACATATACAACTTTAAATATGTGTGTGTGTCGATAACACGCCCTGGGCATCGATGCCGGGATCAACATAGGCGTCGATCTATAATTCAACGGCCTCGTTATCTATCTTTCGGTCTCATTCGCCATTTATCGATCCATCGAAATCAACCCACCATCGGGACAACCATCGGGGCAATCGTCGGGACAACCACCAGGACAACCATCGGGACAACCACGGCACAAGCGCGCGACAACCACGGGACAGCCGCGGGACAACCCCGTCCCCAACTCCACCAACCAGGGGTGGGGAGTCATCTGCTCTGACTTCGCCCCGACAGTGGCGTGATCATTCCCCCCGGCCCGCGCACGCAGCAACGGCTCGCATGCACGGCTTGAGCACGAAACCGGAATCGACTTCACGCTAGGAGATCGGGAGCCTCGAGACGGGGGTCAGTGCAAACGGGGGTCAGCCAGGGCACCGGATCCTGCAGGATCCTGCGAAGACCCCCTCTGGCTGACCCGCGTTAGCGAGCCGCTCGTGGCCGCGAGGCGGCCGCGCCTAGTGGCTGACCCGGGTTTGCGAAGACCTGCGTTGCAGCTTTTTTGTTCCTGCATTGCAGTTTTTGGTTTCCTGCTGACCAGGGTCTGGATTGACCCGGGTCAGAAGATCCCCGAGGAGATCGTCGTTTCATGTCGACCTCACCCCTTGATTTTCGATGTCGATATTGCTACCCTTTTCCTCGTCGCCGCGGCTGGATTCGCCTCGAAGTCATTGTCAGAACGCACTCGTGGAGAGGTCTGGGGAGTAGCGGCAGTGCTTTTTGGCTCCCCAGCCAACTCCGGTGGCGTCCACCAAAGAGAAGAAGTGATCGTCTCCTGCCGTCCTTCCCTGGCCTGGTGGGCGGGCAACGCACTGGGGGCGTAGGCAAAGGTGGGGATGTACCGACACCCAATCGCCCATGGATCGCCGATAGGGGCCTGATAGCCCAACCCGCCCAGGAATTTGCGGATTCGCTGTCGGGGCCTATCACCGATCTATCGGCGATACATCGCCGATCCCAGGTCGATGCTACCCCGCTGAGTTGGTCCACCTCTAACATTGCCCGTCGTCACATCGGGCAGCCGAGGTCGGTGCCGTCCAAAGGCGAGAACAGGGTTTGTAGGAGAGGGGTCCTGAGGTCTCCCGCCGCCCTTCCCAGGTCTGGGGGAACGGAGGAAAGAGGCCGCATGAGGAGGCCCTGGTCCCGGGGTCCGGGGCGCGCCTGCCTGGGGACCGCTCTCTCGGGACTAGGAGGTGTGGATATCTTGGCCGGGGCCATGAGACCTCCCAGATGTCATGGCCCCCCTTTCGTCTCTCAAGCGGTTCCTGGCCCCCTCTTCGTCCGCGCCAAAGCCTCGGACCATGATGAGCTAGCTCCCCTTTTCCTGGCCCCCGTCTTCGGCGCACCAGACATGGGTAACTGCGGTTTTGTCGGTTCTGCTGCGTAGCTGTGGCTTGCGTTCGGTTGGTTCGGGTCGGTCGGGTGTGATGCCATTGCTGCGTCGCTGCGTCCTTCTGGGGTGCTTGCAGTCTGTCTTTGTCGGCTTCGTTGTCGGATTGGTCGGCTTTCCGTCGTGGTGCCGCAGTTGACGGTCTTGGCGGCGCAGTCGCGCAATGTGCCCGTCTCTCCTCATCCCTCGAGCTCCTTCTCGCCGTCCTCCACGCCCGCCGCCGACGGGGGCATCGGCAAGGACTTCGGCCCTCGGGGGACTGCCATGCATCGGTCCTCGGGGGACTGCCAGAGCCTCCCCCCTGCCCCCCTTGATGCTATGGTGTCGCCCCCCTCGCGGGGGATGTCCCGTCTGCGGGTGTCTCGACACACGGTGGTGCGTTGACGTCGAACGATGTAGGTTTTCTCTTCGATGGCCACGCCTTTTGGCGTGTTCCAGCGGGAGCTGTAGCAAAGGAGGTTCTGGGCCAATTGGCCTTTCCAGTCAATGCGCTTCCCAGCTCGCCACTGGCTGAGCAGTTGACACACACAAACACATCTGGAGGACCAACCTCAGCACGTGCCCCGACGAGTCTTTGCGGAGCCGTGCCCGAGAGACGCCGAGATTTGCCGAGTAATCACTCCATGCGGAGTGTGACCTTTGGGGCCCCATGCGTACGGTAGAGCCACGCTTGTGGAGCCACGACCCAACGCTTGCAGCTTTATTGTCTACGACAGGGTTGAATGGCCGGGGTTACAAGCTTGCGTTCACGAGCAGAAAGCGAAAGATCATCGCCACCACCACCGAGGCAACATCGTCATCGCTGTGGCTACTGCTTCTCCTTGTCGTCGTCCGCCTCCTGTCCTTCCGTGCCTCTCTCGGCGCCCCTCTGGGTGGGCGTTCGGGGCCCTCTCGGACCGTTTTTGGGGCCGCCCTGAAGCCGTCTCTGGCCGTCCTGGGCCCTGGGGGCTCTCTTTGGGCCCTCTGGAGCTGCTTCTGCAGGCCGATTGGACCTTCGTGGCAGCCTGGCGGCGCCCCTAGTGGAATCCTGGGGTAACCTACAGCTGGTGGCCAGGAGGCTGAGGGACAGCCCCCTCTCAGGTGTTTCTTATTGTTGGGGCGTCGTGGGTCCCACTAGCAGACTGTAGACAGGATACATGGCTAGAGACACAAGGTGCAGGGTGCAGTATATTCGCGTCACTGGCCGCGACCCCGCCGCCGGCGTTCAACGTTGAACGCCACTAGCGATCCAGAATCGTTCGATGTTGAACGATCCGACTTTTCGGAAGCGGCCGATCATTCGAGGTTGAACGATCCACGTGGTGTCAGGAACCAGCGCTGGGATTGTCACGACACGAATTTGCCGCACAGAGGCATTGCGACACCACATGATGATAGGCACAAGCCGAGCACAGGCTCCGCAGGGAGACAATCACAGCCTGGCGCCCCCGGGGGGGGCCCTGCGTATTCCTCGTACTCCGTTTCCTCGTACTCCATCTCCTCCCGTACTACACCTTGCCTTGCTTATTCCGTTTCCCATCCCCTCCTCCACCGCATCCTCCGCCTCCTCTTTCGCACCCTTCTTCTTCACATGTTCGACATCTTCTTCTACAGCCCCCAGCCGCAAAGGACGTTCGATGGGTGGTTGTGCCGGGTTTCAGGCAGACGCTGGATCGTTCCACCGCTCCCACACCTTGAGCTTCGCCGATGTGTATGGCACGCGGCGGTGCACTAAGTGCGGTCGGCGACCCAACATGTCAGACGGGGGTCGTATCACATGTCCCAGTTGAGGAATGCCAGCAACCGACCAGAAACCATGATTGAGAGGGTGAGCAAACTGCTCTTCTCAAGGCAAGCCAGTGCCACACGAGGGCCCCCAGGAGATCCCGAGACGGCGACCATGCCTCGCGTAGGCGCCCTTCGACATCGGCATCTTCGTCGCCGTCGCCGAATTCTTAGTGTTTTTCCCGCTCTTCCCTCCCCATCCCCACCCGCCCACTCCAAACTCTTGACGCTTCTGTATCCCCACGCGCCCAACCAAAAACTGTTTGTCGGCAGCACTGGCGCTCGCAAGCGCGTTTGCAGAGCCCATCCAGAAACAATAATTTGGCGAATTCCTTTGATGCCTCGTATGGTCGTCCTGGGGCCCTCGTGGGCAATTTTTGGAAGCCTCTGCGGCCCATCTAGGGCAACAGCGAAGTCCTTACGGACATGCTTGGGGCTTTCTTGAGGTCCCATTGGGGGTCCGTAGATGCCCTCTTGAGGAACTCGTGGAGGCCATCGGTCAAAACGAGGGTGGACTCAATTCTGGGCCCCCCGTCGGAGGCAGATACATCTGATGTTGCGGTTATCTTGGGCCTCGCTTGGGGTGCTCTTCGGCGCTTTGGGGGCGGTGCTCAGGTCTTTTTCGGCCCCTCGTGGGGCTCTGTTGGGCCATGTTGGAGCTTTCTGGAGGCCTTTCGAAGCCCATCAGAAGCGAAACGGTAACAGGCAGACACACATAAATAATTTGTTTTAAAGGTTGGGGAAGGATTTGGGCCTCTCGGGGGCGTCCTTGAGAGATTCCGTGGCCACTTGGAGCCGTCTTGGGTCGGTCTCGAGGCATCTTCCAGGCATGTTGGAGGCTACCTTGGCTTCTCTCTCCTCCCTTCTTTTTCTCCAAGAACTAACTCCCTCTCCTCCTCTGGCCACCTTATCGTTACTCTTCTTCTCCTCGTCCTCTCCCCCATTCCCCCTTCACACCCAAGCCCGCACCCTCCCCCCCCCAAACATGTCCTCTTTCTCGTTCTAATGCCCCACACCTCCCTCTCATGCTGCTTGTCCTCATCACCTTCCTCCCCAGACGTCCGAGCCGTTTGTCCTTGTCCCGGGGCCCGACATGGGCCTCCCAGATGACCACGCCGGGGAAATTCCTCCGTTGCTTTTTTTTCCGTGGCGCCAGAACTCTGGATCCCAGGTGTCGAGGTCGACCCCTCTGGGACCCTTGTGGCTGCCTGCGTGGCTCATTCCCCTTTTCCCTCCTCGTCCGGATCTGCCTGATCCTTTTGGAGGGTCTCTTCGGTTTTTTTGGCGCATTGGTTCTTCAGGCTGTCGCCTCACGTTGCCGCCAGCTTCGGGCCCAGGGGGGGGGGCAAATTAATTAATTATTTTATGTTATTTGTTATGTGCTAACGATATCGCCGGAGGGCGCCGCCCAAAATAATTATTTATTTTATTTACTGTGCTAACGATATCGCCAGGGGGTTTACTGTTTACTTCCCAGGTTTAATGGGTCGGTCCTCCGACCACGACCGTAGATACGGCGACCACGACGCCGGCAACCATGATCACGACCACAACGACGAAGACCACGATCACGACCACCGCGACGAAGGCTACGACTACGAGACCATGCTCGCAACCACGACGGCGACGCTGTCGACGACATCGGCGGTGACTGGCGGGCGCCCAACTGATTCCTTGACGTGAGGAGGTGTGGATCTGGTTGTCAGGAGTCGCACTCCAGAGCGTTCCAACCAGAATTTCGAGGCGGATCCAGCACTGGCGACGAGGGCGTTGCAGAAGGCGAATCATGTTCAAGAGCCTCGAAGTTCGAACTTCCAAGTTCGACCCTCGCCCTCCCCGGCGCGAGGCGAGGAGTCCTGCGCGACGGTCGGAGCCCTGCGCTCGCTCTCGTCATGCTGGTGTGCGTGCAGAAGGGCCGAACGCCTTGGGCGCCCGGCGTGCTCGCAAACAGTGTCTGAGCTACACTGATCTAGGCCTCCCAGATGGGGTCGGAGTAGATGGGGTCGGAGGGTCGCGCCGCATCGTCGATGCATCGGCGATGATGCGGCTCGATGTGGAGCCCTATTTTCTCCACGCTGGCGTCGCCGATGCATCGCCGATGTCGCCGATGCATCGTCGATGCATCGGCGATGTATTGCCGATGTATCGGCGATGCGGCGCGATCCTCCGACCCCCGTCTGCCCCGACCCCACCTATGGTAGGCCTTTTATGAGCTGCACTGCTACGCCCCGTGCCGGGCACCGACCACGTGTCGTGCTCAGAACGTCCGCGCCGGTACGCAGCGGGTTGGCTCGGCGCGTGTGTGGCCCACGCCGTGGCGGACGCACCGCGCCAGACCTGCACGTGCTCCATCTGCGTCGTGAGCTTCCGTGCCAGCACGCTATACTCAAGTCGGGCCTGTCCCTCCACAGGGGGGAGTATTCAAAAATAGTCAAAAATAG